GGCGTGCACTCGCACTCCAAGCTTCAGGCTTCAATCTCCCCCCCCCCGCTCTAGCTTGCACAAGGAAACGATGCCCGACGCGCTCACCACGATCCACACCGCGGCGCTCGACGCGATGAAGGCCGTGTTCGCCTTCTGGCAGGAATACAACGCGTTGCAGGTCGCCAAGTACATCAGCCCGCAGACGGACAAGGACCGGCGGCCGGTCGAGGTCGGGCTCACGGACCAGTTCGTGCTCGCGCTCGGCCAGAGTCTGCGCGCTGCGAAAGTGCCGGGGCTCGGACCGAAAGGCGTGGCGAGGTCATGGATGGTGCGTGTCGCCGAGAGAAGGCCGGGGACATATATACTTAACCGTTGCGTGACGGTAGACATATTGCAGGGAAGAATCGCAAGAGGGATGGGACATTGATTGGATGTACAGAGACGCGAACGAGATGGCATACCACATGATCTTCCAGGGTACGTGACATGTCCCCCACCGACTGGTCTCCCTCGGGCAGGCCACCGACGCAACCGTTTCCTCTTGTGCAGCGAAATGCGTCGGAATGCACAACGGCGCGGAGTACGCCGATTTCTCATACGAGTGAGTCCTGGCGTCTCCGTTCGTTCGAGGCGAGGGATGCTGACGGCGTGCTTTCTCGCTCTGCAGGGGTGAGTGCTGTTCCGGCGAGCGAAGGCACAGGACGTGCATATGACGTCTTCTTTCTCTTACGCCAGTCGGAAACAAGACCGGAAACTTTCAAGCTGAATTGCTCATGAACCACGTCGAGTCGCTTCGTCTTCTCGCGAAGCACCAAGGACACAAGCTCGTCGGCGGGTGGGTGCTCTCTGACTGTCCATCCTGATGCGCGTCGTATCGGGGTCCGCTGACGATGGGCGCGTCGGTATTTCCTTCGACAGCTATCTGCTGTTCGCGTCGACCGGCGTGAGCGTAGTGTGGATCGACGACGTGTTCAACGCGCTGCAAGCATGCGGGTGGAAGACGGGGGAGGCGCATAACGTGGAAGTGTACAAGTATCTGTTGAACAAGAGGCAGGTGAAGCACACGCTGCCGGAGGGGTTGGTGGCGAAGCTGCGGGAATGAAGTGCGGCAATATTTGGACGACCCAAGTGTAGCATAGACAACCGGTTGCGTGGGGAGCGCTTCAAGCCTATGCATATGGCGCGGGCGAGACGGCATCAGACAGAGTGCCATGGTCGCTGTGCCAGCGCCATAATAACGTGCAACGGAGATGGGATATTCTTCGGGGGATGGGTTTGTGGCGCATCATATGGCTGGTCTGCACGAGCTGTGGTCGCTATTCCGAGGCACGCATCGAAACAGTTGCTAATAACCGCACGAGGCAGTCCATCGATCGCTGTGTCGCGGGACCGAGGAGGTTGGCCTGTGTCGTGTGCGTTGGACGGTCAGAAGCTGGCTGCGCTCTGGCCTGGGTCATGTAAATGTAATATGATACATGGTTCATAGAACAGTATGTGAACGACTGTGTTTGTTGGCCGGTCGCACGATACCGTTCTGCTCTGACGCGCGGTGGATGCGTGTCCGGGATCGATACTTGCCACCGCTGCTGCCGAGTACGACATACAAAAGACAGATCAACCGCCAAGGGACCGCACCCGGACTGCCAGAGACGCTCGACCCAAGCGAGACGCCAGGGCACTTGGCCCCCTGGCCGTTGCCAACGTCTGATCTCCCTCGCCGTCGCCGTTGCTGTGCCTGTGCCCCCCATGGACGCTGAAGAACGCCCGGTCCCGACGAGATCCCGGCCTCGTTCCCTCCGCGTGGACGACCCCGCCCTCCTCGACCGCACCTTTGTCCCCTCGTCCACCCCGCCGCTCTCCACCCCTCCGCCGTCGCGCCCGCCCCGCTCGGCACTGCGCACCGCGACTCCCCGCACGCCCAACCCCTCCGCCTCCTCGAGCAACCTGTCGGAGAAGACGCTCGCCTCCTCTGTCTCCTCGAGCAGCAATCTCTCGGACAAGACCCTCACCGCTCCACCCACCCCCGACTGGTCTACCACCTCCGTGCCGGACCGCTTGCCATTGGCGCTTCCGTCGCCCTCGATCCTCAACCGCCCCAGCTTCGCCTCCCTCAGCGGCTTACTAGATACGCTCCACGCCGAAATGGGTTCGTTCCCGGACTCGCCTAGCGCCACGCCGCCCTCCACTGCCGACAAAGAACACTTCACCCTCAAACCTTCCCGCACCGACTCGCCGCTACCGAGCGAAGACGGTGCTACCGACCCGCCACCGCCACCTCCCAAACTCACCAAGCGAACGCACGCCCTGCTCGAGCTCCTCTCCTCCGAGCGCGCCTATGCCTCCGACCTCGCCCTCACACGCGACATCCACATACCTCTCGCGCTAGGTAATGCCCCTGCTCCCCCATTCCCCACCCCGGCGAACTGACGTACCCATCCCGAAGGTCACCCTACCCCGCTCCCAGCCACCCCGCCGCCCTCCTCCGGCTCGTCCTCCCGCACGCTCTCGACCGCCTCCGACTCCTCGACCGCGGACGCCCCAATGACCAAAGAAGACGCGCGCATTATCTTCGGCAACATCGCGGAAATTGCCGTCTTCGCCGACAGCTTTTCCGAGCAGCTGGAAGAGGCGCTCGGCAGCATCTTGGAAGGAGGTTCAGGCGAGGATCGCGTTGGCGAACTCTTCCTCAAGATGGTGCGTCGCATGCGACGTCGTCGTACCACGTTTCTAATACGCTCTGCAGATCCCGCAAATGTTACCACTGTACATGACCTACATTCGCCGGCACCCGACCGCCCTCTCCCACCTGCAATCTCTCCCGCAGACCGCCGCGCTCACCGCCTACCTCGCGCACACGCAGACGATCGCCTCCTCCCTCACCCACGCTTGGGACCTTCCCTCGCTCCTGATCAAGCCCGTTCAGCGCCTGCTAAAGTATCCGCTCCTGCTTAGCACCATCGTCGAGGAGACGCCGGATGCCCACCCGGACAAAGCCGCACTCCGACGCGCAAAGGAGAAGTGCGAGGAGGCCGCGCGCGAGGTGAACGAGGGCCGGCGCCGGTACGAGGTCGTTCAGGAGGTGCTCAAAGGCCGGCCGGCCGCGCCGGGCGCCGCCGATGCCAAGGACGGCGGTAAAGACGGGAAACGGGGCAAGCCCGGGGTGAGCGTCCCCGTCGGGCTCGCGGCCGCGGTTGCGCTCGGAAAGATGAAGAACCTCAACCTCAAGTCGGCCCGGCCGAAGGAGGGCGCGGAGGAAGCCGAGCGGTGCGAACGCTACGAGCGCGAGATCAAGGACGCCGCCGCCTTCCTCCGCGCGTTCGCCCGCCACGCCCTTGCGTGGGTCGACGCCGTCCGTGCCTCCCTCGCCGGGCTCCGCCAGTGGGCGCTTGGCTTCGCGCGCGTCATTGGGCTCGCGGACGACGCAGAAAGCGAATCGGAGGCGTTCGATGCGTTCCTCGCCGTCGTCGGTGGTCGTCTCGTCCCGCTCGGCGCCACCTTCGATGGCGTCCTTCGCCGCGAGCTCCTCGTCGACGCCGCCCGGCTGGTTGATGCTACCCGCAACCCTCTTCGACTCCTCGACGCGCTCCACACGCTCGAACCGCTCCATTATGGCCTGCTCAACATGACCATCGGGCCTAAGAGCCGGCCACCGCCGGCGCTCCTTGAGGCTAGCCAAAGCTACGTCGCGCTCAGGGAGCAACTCCTCCAGGAGCTGCCAGATTACACGGCCTTGCTCCACCGCGGCATCGTCTCCGTCGTGCTCAAGTTCGCGCACTGGCAGGCCGAGTTCTGGGGCGACGTGCACATCAAGTGGGGCGAGCTCTGGGACGCATTGCGTGGGTGTCGATTATGCATCCGTATGCGGATATGTTGAGCTAACAACCCAATCCCACAGGTATCGAAGACGAGGCGAACAATGGCGCAGACGAGACGATCCGCGTCTGGTGGAATCGCTTCGCCGAGGTCGAAGGCGACGTCAACATGCTCAACATCGTCAACCCCCAGAAGCTGCACGAAGACCCCCGTCTGACTTACCACCACCTCCGCACTCATGCCTCCTTCCCCGCGCACCACGCGAATTCGTACCCGGTTCCATACCCGCGCTCGCCCGCGCCCGCGACGCCACTCGCGAAGAACATGGTGCCCTCCATCATCGCCTCGCTCGACCCCTTGCACGCGCCTGGCGTCGCGAAGTCGCCCTCGGGCGGCTCCGGGAGCAAGCTCGTGCGTATGCTCGGCGAGCAGCCCGAGCAGCAACCCTCCGCATGGCAGGACGTCGCGCAGCACCGCGCCGCCCTCCGCAAGCGCCCCTCGCGCGAGAACGCGCGCGCGCCCGCACGTGCCGCCTCCGGACCCGCCGGCCCGGCGCTCGGCCTCTTCGACCTCGACGGCGCGCCGGACGAGCTCGGCTTCGCCCCGCCGCGCCAGCACGCCGACGGCTCGCGCGCGTCGAGCAAGACGCGCAGCATGCCCGTCGCTCCCCGCAAGAGCAGCGTGTCCGCTTCCGTCGCGCGCTCGCTCGACACCGGCCACCTTTCCCTGCCTGTGTCCATGTCCGCGCCGACGCAGCGGAGCCCCACCGTGGCCGCGTACGAAGCCGGCATGCTCGGCTCTAACTCGCTCAGCTCGTTCGCACCCGATCGCGAAGCGGAGCGCGGGCGCTCGCGACTCGACTCGCCGCGTAAGCCGAACTTCAGACGTAAGCTCTCGGGTGCGGTCGACAGCTTCCGGCCGTCGTCGTCCCACCGCCAACAACAACAGCCTCAGCAGGCACGCTCGTCCTCGCGCTCGCGGCGGAAGAAAAGCGACGCATCGCAGTACCCCCACACAGCCCACCCACCACTCCCCGACGACGGCCGGTTCTCGACATACTTTTGCCAAGTCATCCACCCGTGCGAGCCGCCGGAGGGCGTGCAGTACCGCGGCACGCCTTTCCCCGTCCTACGCGTGGGCGATATCCTTGAAGTCCTGGAGGAGCACGGGCATCCGAGCCTCCACCGCGATCTGCCTCTGTACGTTGACGAGGGCGACGACTGCCTCATGCTCGTGCGCGACCAGCAGGACCGCGTCGGCTGGGCGCTCGCGAGCTTCCTGTTGCCTATCGACTAGAATCTAGAATTCTTGATTTCAGATCTCTCTTCCTCTCACTCTTCCCGTTCGCATGCCATACATTTCCTCCTATCCATCCCCCGATACCAAGCCTTGACACCCGCATTCCGCATGTTGTGTGTGTTCCGATGCAATGTATAACAGCCACTCATTTTACGTTACCCCTCCCCCAGTCCCCTGTACACAAGAGTAATCAGGAAGCCTCCCCCCCATGTACATATGCGCAAGAATCTCAGCAACGTGTTTTGTACAGAACGTTCCAGCAGCATCATACAAGGTTCTACCGAAGCATGTATCCCGGCTAATAGTCCGGGTAGGGAGAGCGGGGCTCGTCGTGGTAGGCTACGACCGGGTCGCGTTCTGGATCCAGCGGCCAATAGTTGTTTCTGAACATGCCCTGAGGGTCGTATTTGTTTTTGAGGTCCCGCAGGCGAGCCCAATGTTCTCCGAAGCAAGCGGAGATCCTCGCTTCGGATTCGTGTCGGCCGAGGAACTGCGGGTAGCGTCAGCGAAATGAACGCCGGAGGGTCTGCAAGAGAAACAGTGCAGACACGTACACACGTGTACGGACCACCGGTCGATACGGGCGCAATCGTCTGGGCGATCCACTGTATGCGTCATCGTCAGCCTGTAAGCACCCATACAACTGAAAAAGAGAGACGGACTTCTTCCGCGGAGCTCTTGCAGCGAGGATCGTCGATATGGAGCTCCCACTGGTGCAGGGCAGCGATGGTAAAGGCCGCCTGACGCTGCGATTTGGGTATGCACGTATCCGCATGGTCCTCTATCGCGCCGCCTGCCAGTTCGAAAAGCCACGCTGTCGAGATAGAAATCGCAAAGAGAACATACATGAGTCCTTTGAAAGAAGAGAAGAAACGGGGCACAAAACGACGCACTGCATCCGATGGGCGTGTCTGCAAACTTCATCACAGTCTGGTTTATGATTTCGTCCGGCAGCGAGGTGATCAGGGTCGAGCGAATGAACCACTTTCGTCCCACTGCGCGTCCATCGATAGGTTAGCATCATATAACCCTTTCTGCGCAGGAAACCGTTGAAGGGGGATGAATCGAAGCAATTACTGACTCTGCCCACGAAGCACCTGCGCGATGCTGTCCTGCTGCTTGAGGAAGCTCTTCTCGCTCACTTCGTTCAGTAGACAGGGTTCGCCCTCCCAGCTGCTAATGAGCTGCAGGAACTCTTGACCACGCTCTTTCGGGCCGACATAGCACATTTGGATCACGACGAGCGAATCCTATGACAGCGGCGATGTCAGGGGTCGTCTTACCACGTAAAATGAATTGACGACCCGACTCTCACCTGGTCCTTGGGTCCCGCGGTGAGTAGAACGTTGCAATACAGCTCGCGGGGTGCTCCTTTTACGCAGTCGCGGAAGTGCTTGATGAGCGAGGGCGCCGTCGCGCGGTGGAAGCGGCTGCAGATCGGATTGGGCGAAATTGGAAGTCAGCAAATGCAAATAATCAGAGGAGCCTTGGCGTATCCACGCAACTATATGAGATTTCCCGCGAACACGACGGGTACGGGGTACGCGCGGGCTTTATACCGCGTCGCGATGCCAAATGCGGGGCCTAATCTGATCCATGAGTCAAGGGCCTGCGATCCTCTTTGCTCGGGACTGACCTCCACCGCGAATGGCCCACCACAAGTCTAAGGGAAAGAGGCGGGCTCATGAGCGCCAACGACGGTGTGGATATATGCGTCGTGTTTCTTACCGGGATGTTCGTCTTCGCTCACGATGACGACGCGCCCGTCCGCGAGCACCATCTCAACCTCGACCACGTTGTCAACGCTGAGCCCGTGCAAGCGCGTGAGGAACCCAAAGCCGCCGGTGAGCATGATCGCCGAGCCGACGGGGTGCGCCGCGCTGACAGCACGTCAAAGCGCGTCAGTCAGCGTCTCTCGACGCCAAAGCTACAGTATACGCACGTGGGCACATGGTACGGCACGGTCGCTGCCGCGCCGTCGAGCGTCGTTCCGGGCAGCGGGTTCTCCGCACAGAACCGGTCGACGTCCTTCACCTTGCGGCCGGCGCCGAAGGTAACGTACGCATGCGGGTGCACAGGTTGCGCGTAGCCGATCGCGCCGAGGAGGTAATAGGACGACCAGGCGGAGGACGCGCCGGCACCAGCGCTGGAGCCGGATGCGGAGCCGGAGCCGGAGGCGGAGGTGGCGGCGGTGCTTTCCGATGCGGACGAGGCTGAGCCATTGCCGGATGAGGAAGAGTTGGGGCCCGAGGAAGAGGTCGAGGCCAACATCGGGGGTGCGGGCAGGCGGGCGGTGTCGATCGGCGGCGGTCTCTGCGCCACGGACGGAGGTGCGCCGGAGACGACGGGCGCGTCGGACATGTAGCCGAACGGGTCTGCGTCGGGGTTTACTGCCGCAGACGAGGAAGGCGATGGTAAAGCGCGTGCGCGTCCGGGTGGTCGGTTGCTCCCGTCCGAGGATGTGCGCATGGGAGAGCCCAGCATCGAAGGGCGCGACGTCGGCCTGGGAGGTCCCGAATCCATGTACCCGAATGGATCGTCCATGGACATGACCGAACCCGGACCCGTTGGTGACTCCGTTAGTCTGCGCCTGCTGCTAGGTCGCGGATCATCGGCGCCCGCCATGCCCCATGGCCCTCTGGTAGTCGGTTCAACGTCCCGAACCGATGCGGGATCGATGCGCGCGTCTTGGGCGTAGCGCGCGCGTGGGGGCAACGGCGGGCCGGCGAGAAAGATCTCGGTTGCGGAGGAGGCTGGGAGGATGCCGCGGCTGGAGGCTGGGAGCCTCATGAGCTCTTCTGGCGGTGGTGGAACGGGCGTTACGGAGCCGACAGATCGGGATACGCCTGGCGTTGAAGGCGAGCGTTGCCGCTTAGCGGGGACAGAAGCAATGTCGCTTGACAGCGTAGGCCTGCCTGTCGCGAAGTTAGGCATCAGAGTTTGTACCATGAGCACAGAGATTGCGACCTACCGCCCTTAGCCTTGCCCTTGCTACCGCCCGCGGCAATCTCGTGAAGGCTTGTCCAGTCTCTGAGCCTTCTGCCCTTCGCCTCCGTATCGCCATCCATCTTGACCTCCGGCTCGGGTAGCGGGGGCTCGATGTCGAGGTCGTCCAGGCGGGAGAGGTCGAGGACGACGTCGCCCGCGACGGCCCATCCGGCCGTACCGTACCCACCCGCCTTCACCGAGGGCGACAAACCGTACTTGGCGCAGAAGGAGACCACTCTGCACAACGTTTAGTCATGCGCCCAGATATAAAAAATGTATATCACGACGCACTTGGAGACGTCCTGGGCATCGACGGGGCAGACGACGACCTGGGAGCGACAGACAATATTCCCGTTCCAGAGGCGAGAATGATACGCGAATCTGTGACGCTGTTAAATCAAGCGCATAGGCCATCAGCGTGCTCACTCACTTGGGATCGCCACGATTGTAGACGTCGCCCCGGATCAGGTTCGACAACTCTTGCACGAGCCCGTCAGCGAGGCTTGGTGGGGGTGGCAGCGGCGAATGGATGGCATCCATAGCAGAGAACACAGAAGGGGCGCTGCGACCGCCCATATGAGGCGTGAACGTGTATATATATACCGGTAACCGCTGTGGGTGGATATGCTTCGGTCAGATCCAGGGAAGACCTCGTTGTGCGCGGCTAATGCAAATGGGCTGTCCTGGAGACCCCTTAATTTATCCCTCTGGACGTTGGAGATTCGACTCTGGGGCCGCCGAGTGATCACTAGTCAGAAATCACTGGTTTTGTCCCAAGTGCGTCCCTCGTCGGCACTTTGGCGGTACTCGCTCGAAGGGAGTGGGGACCATCCAAAGCAGTTGAGATGAGCCGGTCGGGCCACCTACCGACGTCGTGCGTGAGCTCAGCGCCGCCAGAGCGTCGGCGGCGGTGACTTGGAAGGTTGGCCCCACTCACTGCCGGTGCAAACCCAATCGCTGAGAGCGGTGCACCCGCGGATCTTTGCGTTTCGTAACGTTTTGTGTCCTCTCCTCTAATCCCGACTTCATCCCGGCCCTTCGAACACATAAATATGTAGTACCGCGCGTGCTATCGAGGTGGCGTCCGGAAAGGCTTGAAGGGGTGACTCCGCGTCAGCGTCGTGTTTTGCCGGTGGCCCGTCGGCGTTAATGTGCGTACTCCGCCAGACTCCGACGAGCTTGCAACGTCCAGCCCATTGTCATTGCCTCCCTGTGATACGTTCTGCCCAAATCACCCAAAAGCACGTCCGTTTTGCTGGCGCTGAGCGCCTCGCAAACACCGCTGTGGATAACTCTTGGCATCTGAGGCTTTACTCTGCCATGTTCTCGCGGACACACGCGAAACGCCCCCCCGATCTTTCGCTGACTTCCAGGTAAACCTTCCAATGATAAGCTGGGACGATGCGCGCTCAAGACAGTCACGATTTGTCGGTGGGCATGTGGGCCATAAGTCTTTTGTCAAGGTTCCCGGTCTCTGGGGTGACTTCGTTGCTTCTTAAGCTCAGCGCTGATCGAGGTTCTGTCACACACCCAATAATCATGACGTCCATAGTCCGCCTTACGTACCGGTGAGTCAGTATGCATGTCGAGCATACGTACATTACTCAATCCGCTCAGCAGTACGTAGTTGTTCGCTTTATTCCGATGGAATTGAAACAGAGGTGACTCTTGAATGAGGTTATCCCCGCTGTGGTGGTGCCTTCCGCCAGTTTCCGCCCCGTGATGCCTCTCGCCCGCACCCATTAGGCGCTGCACGCTGCTTCTCATGGCCGGTCGCAAAGAAGTTAAAGCACCAAACCAAGGTTCATCGTGCCAGGATGCTTATTCCCAGCGCATGCGACGCTGGACGGTCGTGCTCCGCTGCAACATGGGCTACACTGGCGCATAAGAAACATCTGCAACGGCAGCAACGCAACCGGTAGCATCTCCGATCTCCGACCCTCTGTTTACGTGTGTACCATCGCATAATCTTATGCATTGATCCAGCGTGCCTAGCCGGCCATTGAATGCGCAAAGGCCAGGTCGTGACCCGTACGAGCCCGTACGTCCGAGAACATGTGAGCTGCCGCTTCTCATAGGTCGACTGGAGGATGTGTTGATGATCATGCTATTCAGTGGAGCGCTTGTAAGTTGCGTGCCGGATTGAGACTGCTCCGTACAATGCGCCTTGTCGATACTTACTGTGCATCCACCCCTAATGAAACGTGTGTTGCGTGGGGTTATATCTCGCTCATACCTCCTCATAATCGCCTTAAAATGTGTCAGTGGATAGCCAGAATTCTGTAGATATGTTAGCTAGCGTCTCAAATATTTTAGTCAAGCCTCAACTCTGCCAGAGAGATGCCGGCGAGACGAAGTGAGCACCAGCCAAAGTTGCGAGATCATCACACGCGGTCACGACTTGCCGAGGTGCCGGACCAGGACAGGCTGCAATGCAACGCAGGGCTCAAGCGGCTCAAGCCAATCAACGCAGGCGGAGTTTATATTTATCCGTCACGCCAACACCGTCTTTTGTGTTGAACCTCCTCCTACAGCAGCAATACTATACCAATCGCAAATCGGGCTAGCGTGGCGGATAGAATTCAAGGTATAACTCTTCCTGTATGTATTTCAGCATCCATCAAGGGCCGGAGTAGTGAGAAGGCTGGTAGAGACGACAGATGAATGCGTTGACAAAATAACCAACGCTGCCCGAGCTAGGCACACTAGGTTTTATGTTTCGACAACAAACCCCGATGAAGGTCACCAAGCCGATAGCCGGACGTCCGTGCGTTAAGTACTTGCCTACTGGCGTCGTCGCTTTCCAGTACGCCTGTTTTAGTACCCGTTTCCATCCATTGGTGTATTGAGCATGCCAGAGATCTCATGTCCGCCGCAGGCAGCGCATACTGCAAGACGTGCAATATGCGAATGTGCTATCGGTACGCACTGCGCGTCGTGAGATCGCGCTCGAGAGCATACTTATACAAATTGAATGCAGCGGAGTGCTTCTTCACCGACTCAAAGGAGGCGTCGTTAGCTGCCATGTTCGACAAATTCTACCTCGACGGAGATGCAGCAAACTTGACGGAATGCGTTGACACGTGCCAAGCAGCACTGCGGGAGTCCCTCCAGGTAGTTACATACCAACCTCATACCAATGGCGATTGACGGATTATATCAGACAACTTTAACTGCTACGCAAGTGCGGCACATCCTCGGTCACTTATGTCGTGCCTTAGGGGCACGATGCTATGCATTGGGAAATGGCCAGGATCTCGAGGACGCTTTGGTTGCAGGCGATCGAGCTGTGCGGTCCTGCGAGAGCGACGATGTTGCTTGTCCGACGGCATATGTACTAGTGGCAAACGTCCTCCGCATCAGTGCCGACATCCATGGAACACCCCAGTTACGGGACACCGCTGAGCAGCTCTGTCGCAGCGCCGTCGAGTTGTGCACTGTTGGGCATCCTATTCGTGCTATAGCACTTCGCGTTCTGGCCTTCATACTCGCACGACGCTGCGAGTCTACAGGGTCACAATCCTACATGGACAAAGCCATAGACGTGCAACGCATGGCACTAGAGGAGGCGACGTCGATCGGAGGACCAGGTCAGCATCAGCACATGGATGCTCTAGCAAACCACTTGTTAGGGAGACATGCACTGTTCGGGACAGATAACGATCTCGAGGAAGCGATACGGATCCAGAGGGCCGCTGTGGACATCTGTCCGCCGACACATTCGGAGCGAGAGTTCGTGCTCAACAAGCTGGCTTCAGCACTTCGCCTCCGCTTCCAACGGCTCGGGTCCGTCGAGGACTTGAACGAAGCAGTGATCGTGTGTCGCCAAGCCCTTGCTGTCAGGCGTCCCAACAGCACCGCACGACCTTACACATTAGATATACTTGCTCAACTCCTTACCTCACGATTTCAAGTTTCGTCTGCGTCCGACTCCGATCTAGATGAGCTCGTGGAAGTAGGACGCGAAGCCGTCCGCATCTGCCCACCACATCAGAACGACCACTGGATTCGCTTGGACACCTTGGCGGACTCATTTCAGATGCGCTTCACATGGACCGGATCCCTTGCGGACCTCGAGGAGACGATTGAGCTGCGACGCCGCGCCGTTGATCACGCTCCCGCTGAGGACCCGCGTCGGTGGGTTATGATTAGTAACCTCGCGGGTAGCCTCCGCCTACGGTTTACGGAGCTAGGTCATGTCGACGACATCAATGAGACAGTCAGGCTTTACCGACAGGTATCGGACACTGCTGCGGCCAACGTCGTTGATCATCCTGATCGCCTATTGGCAATGGTGTCCTCACTTTGTCTCCGTTTCAAGACGCTTCGGTCCGTGGAAGATCTCAACGAAGCAATCGAAATTTCGGAGTTGGTTCTGGGATCTATTCCGTCCTCCCATGCATTCCGACCACGAGCTATCAAGTGTCTAGCTGATGCGCTGGTCTTGAGAGCGCGCCCCGAAGACCTGGATAACGCGGTGAGGTCGCTGGAAGAGAACAAGGAGCACGTTCGTCCTTCGTCGTCCTTCAGCACCGAATACGCTCTTGCATTGGGTGACTCGCTTTCGTGCAGATTCAGTCGCATAAAGCAGGCAAGCGATGCTGAACGTGCCAGGGAGGTCTTGACAGTGCTGCTGGATCGGCTGCCCCCAGGACGAAGAGACCGTTTCCAGTGTCTCCTCCAGTTGTCCGAGCTACATTTGGATATCGACTCTCCGTACTTCGACGTGTCCTCTGCCCTGCAATACATAGCAGAAGGAATTCGAGACGACCATCGGGATGTCCGATTTCGTCTGCAAGGCACCATGCGTGTCTTGCGGTTGATCGAGCCCCTCCAGCCCGACTTCCAGGACGTCGACTGCTCCATAAGGACCCATCTCTTGGACATATACGGCGCCGTCGTCGCATTACTACCACGCGTCGCCTACTTCAGCCTTGACCTATCTTCTCGTCTCCACTCCCTGGCCATAGGCCAGAGCGCCGCGATAACGGGAGCTGCGTGCGCCCTCACCCTGTCGCGACCGCAGAGAGCACTAGAGATCCTCGAACAAGGCCGCGGCATCTTCTGGTCTCATTCATTCCGACTTCGGTCGCAGTTCGACGACGTCCCGGAGGTTCAGCGACGTCAATTATTGGCGCTGGCCCATCAGCTCGAGAGGAGCAATGACGCGCTGCCAGATCAGAGTGATGACCGCCTCATGGAGAAGGCGTTATCCAGACGAAGGAAACAAAGCGAGGAGTTCAATTCGCTGGTCGAAGAAATACGCTCCATGCCTGGACTCGACCGTTTCATGCTCCACGACACTTACGCGACCCTGGCCAAAGCTGCGGACAAGGGACCTGTGATAGTCATTCTCCCGAGCGCCTTCGCGTCCTTTGCCATAATAATCAGGTCAGATCGGGAACCTGTGAGCATTCCTTTACCTTCGCTCAGCGAGGACTGGATCGCACAATCGAGTGGTACGTGGAGATCAGCGGTGTCCGAAGCGAGAAATGCAGTACGAAACCGCTTAAAGCTCCAGAAGATTGCCATGAAAGTATCCCAGGTACAGTCCCAGGCGACGTTGATGGAGGACGTCCTGGAAGGGCTTTGGACAAAGGTCGTGAAACCTATCATGCTGGAGCTGAAGTTGAAGGTGCGGGACGGACCGATTAGTTTGTCTTTCTTCCCGTAGACCGACTGATACCCGCTGGCCTAGCCCCGCTCAGGACGACGGAGGCCTCGTCTATGGTGGTGCCTGACGGGAAACCTGGCCCATCTCCCCATTCACGCTGCTGGCGTGCGAAGGAAGCAAGGATGCTCTGATTACGTCGTGTCGTCCTACATACCAACCCTCGGAGAACTGCTGTATGCACGGAGCACTTCTCAGCTCGTCAGGAAACGCGACGCAAAGGCACTCCTCGTCGCGGTGCCACAGCCCCGTGCCGGCGGGTGGGTGGAGCTGCCGTCGACCCTTGAAGAAGTCCGAGAGGTCGAAGCTATCCTCCCTGCATCCGCGCTGATACCCCTCTCGGAGGGTTCGTTAGTCAAAGATCCTTCAAGCGTCACCAGCAGGGCGTTGTTAGATGCGTTATCAAACGCTCACGTTCTCCATCTTGCGTGCCACGGAGTACAAGATCCCACGAACCCGCTCCAAAGCGGTTTCGTGCTTGGCGACGGGATCCTTACGATCGATAAATTGATGGGAATATCGCTTCCTCGCGCCTTCCTGGCTTTTCTGAGCGCATGTGAGACGGCGAAGGGGGACAGAAGCCAGCCGGACCAAGCCGTCCACCTCGCGGCGACCATGATCTTTGCTGGATTCAAGAGCGTTATCGCCACACTTTGGTAAGTATAACGCTCGTGAGGCTCTCCAAGTTGCGGTGTTTACTGGTTGTTTGCGTGCCAGGTCGATGGAGGACATCGATGGACCCTTGGTGGCGAAATCGGTATACGAGCAGCTATTCAAGCACGACGTCGACTCCGAATTTCTTGAGCCTGACGACGTTGCGTACGCATTGGACGAAGCAATACGCCAGCTTCGATCTGTCCATCCAGAGCCCAGTAGGTGGGCACCGTATATACATATGGGCATCTGATTCAAGCATGTCATTCGTGAAGAGAGAGAGAAGGAGGTCCTGATAGCACTCTTTACACGGTGGAATCTACTGTCAATTACTATTACCCGCACTCCCAAGAAACACACATTACAACATGTAAACAAGAGGCCGTAGCTGTAGAGCGACGGCGTGATACAAGCAGATTTTGGGGCCAAGCAAAGCCCCCTTGTTCATCGGCCAACATACTTGAGTTCGAGGTAGCGCAAGGGCAGGAAAGGCACAAGCGTGAAGAGCTGTGAGCACGAAGCGTGAGCATAAGGTTCAGCAGTAAATCAGACGCAGGCGACCACTCACGATACACAGCAGCCAGCTGACGTCACCACCGAACGGTCCCATGGTTTTTGCGATCGGGCCAACCCACCACACCTGCGCCAAGCCGGTGATAGCGCCGACGGCACCGCAGCACCCGGAAGCGAACGCGGCGAGACCAATGGGCAGCCGGGACGCGTCGTTGTACGCGGTGAGGTCGTAGTTCTTGAAATTTGCCTTGCGGAAGACGATGTGCTCCGCGAGGAAGACAGTAGCGTAGATGGAGAGCCAGGCGCCGAGGACGTCCATGAAGGACTCGAGGGAGGTTACGAAGGACGTGGCGCCGACGATGGAGATCGGGATGTAGATGGCGGTGATGAGCACTGGGTACACAAACTGAGGGAGGTAGGTGAACTTGGGCGAGATGGCGGCGAAGGAGAAGCCGAAGGAGTAGACGTTGATGATGTTGTTCGCGACGACGGAGAGCACGAGGATGACCATGAGGAACTTGGGCCAGCCGCCTAAGCCTAGCGCGGCGCCGAGGAGACCACCGAGCTCTTCCGCGTCATACTGTGCCAACCAAGACTCGTGGGCGAGCGCCGCGCACATGACGGCGGCACCGAGAGACATGACGAATACAAGAGGCTAGGGCAGAAATGAGCGCGCGATCAACGAGAAAGGAAAGATGGTACATACCACGAGGAGGCCGACATATGTCCACAAGAAGACCTGGATCGAGGGGGTCTCCTCAGGGAAGTAGACGACGTAGTCTGACGCGAGGGATGCCCAGCCAAGACCAAAGCCCCAGATGGTGGAGGCGAAGGAGAGAACGCCGGCCGTCTCGGTGATTCCGGTAGCGAATGGAGTGTTGACGTAGTCGTGGGCAGTCATACCGAGCATGATGATGAACACGATGAACACGGGCATCCAGGCGAATCGGTCGAAGTAGTGGATATACCTATCGACCGTGAATTGTAAATCACGATGTACGATAGTGCGGAACGCGTATGAAGCGACTCACCGGTAGCCGATCAAGCCCAAGAGCAGGGTGACGACAGCGATAATCACAATTCCGACGGCATGGCTGATATTCAGGTCCGCGACAACACGCAACGTCTGCGCACCGGCGATGCAGTTGATGGTCGACCAACCAACGCAAGCAATCAAGTTGAGCAGGGCGACAAGTTTCGTGCCCCACCAACCCCACATGTATCTAAAGCAGGTTTTACAACTCGGGACAGCATGATGTGGAGGATGATATGTACCGAGTGACAATCATCTGGCGGAGGCCGGTTTTCACGCCGAAGATGGAGAAGTACGCAGGGATCGCGGCGACGATGATGTTGAAGAAGAAGGTACAAATCAGCGAGTCGCCTGCAATGCAGTCGTGGTAAGCATGGTATTTCGAGGTGAGCTTACACGAACGCACCGAGTCCCAACCCGAAGATGGCGGGCCCAAGAATGCCCACACCGAAAGTCGGCAGCACCGTGTTGGCACTCAACCATACCTCGGCGGTTTGCCATGCCTTGGCCTTGTAATCCCTCGCTTCAGGCAGCACACGGCTGGCGCCCTGTGCCTCGATGCCGACCTTGCGCTCGAACGCGAGGATGCGACGACGCCATTCGGGAACGTACTCCGGCGCGCCGATACCGGGCTCGATCGTCTCTGCGACGGAGAACCCCTTAGTCTTCTCTGTTGCTCGAATCAGCGAAATGGTGCATATATGCGACGGCAAAGTGATACACATACCAGGAAGTCCAGCCTCGACGTCCTGGCTGTGCGAGGACTCCGACGGCTCGATATGCTTCTCGGTTGTCGTCGACACCATTGCGGATGCACCGGTCTTTATGTTAAGGGCTTGATTGATAAGGCCGTCAGGGAGAGGCTGCCTGCGTTATGCAGGTAGATTTATCCTCTGTGAGGTGCTGGGGGGGGATCCCAGTCGCAAGTCGGGGATAGCTGGGTAGCTCGGTGTGCCAGTGGACGGAGGGTCGAGGAACGCGACGCGCTGTGAGGAGGAGATTTTATTCGGGGCTCGAGGTTGCATATGGTCTGGCTGGGAACGGCCGTGATGGCGTCAAGTGTGGCTACCCCGATAAGGGCATCTTCGCACGTCGCACCATTTACCCGCGTGCGCCCCTCCTCTTCCGGCGCACAGAACGCCGACCAACATCTTCCGTTGGTGATCGTGTATATATGCACCTGGAGCAGGGCACTACACGCCATGTTGGTCCTGCTAGTGTGAGATGAAGCGCCTTGAAATCAACTCGAATGAAAGAACGATGCAGAAAGCGGAGTCGTACGTAAAAACCGAACGGCCTGAATCAAGGCACTAGCTTGGGCCCGGTGGATAACCTTTCGGCCCCGGCCCTCGCAGATAACGGCTTGAACGAGTGCAGGCCCCCACTCTCCGTTCAACTCCAGGCGGTATCCCGATATCATGTACAGGGCGCGTATCTCTGATGCCCTCGTGGTCCCCACATCATCCATGTACTTCCGACAACCTTCCCTCTCACATCCTCCACAACCGAGCCACACTTACTTACCCCTGATGTGACCTGAAAAAAAATGGACGCAAACCCCTTGGCAGGTGCGATCGAGATTGCTCGATTCGGGCCTTGCCTCGTGCCGAACACTCCCATGCGATAATCCTTCACCGGACACACGACCGTGCAGGATCTTTACAGAGCAGCGATGTTCACCCATCAGCAGGACCTCGAACATCTGCAACTCGCACTCGAGCAGGCGCGCAAGTCCGAGAGCGAGGGAGGCATCCCAATAGGGTGAGCGCCCACGTTTCATTATCGCAAACGAGTTGTCGTCTCCCATCTCCGTCTCCGTCTCCGTCGCCATACTACTATCGAGCTCTCCACAGCGCAGCATGCTTTCTGACGTTTGCGTTTCCTTATCCACTGGAATACGACTTTCACATGCCGTTTGCAAGCCGTTCTGCTAGTGCCAGCTAGCCGTTCTGAACTCGGAAGTACAGGCAGGCTGTGTTCAGTGCCATTCCATCCCACCTTGCTTCGCTCCAGAAATATGGAGACTGCCACGTGCAAGGTGCTGCTCCCGCATGGACGCGCCTCATTTCCGTGACAGGTGCACCTCCACTTCGCAGCTCTTCGCGGCGGAAGTTCAGTGCGCGGTCGATGCGCGGTCTCGATGATCTCGAGTGCCGAGCGGGGCGGGATAGCTGACGATTGCCTTCACTTGTCCACATGCCCGGCGCTTTGCAGCTTCCGTGCGCCCATCCTGCCGCCGCGGCCTGGATACAGCGCTCTTTCCATGACACAGGGGTTGCGATGATCCCCTGGGATTGTTCTGGGGCTAGTTCTCAGGACTCTTATGTACTATTCCGTCTGCTTTCAATCTCCCGCTTTTCCACCCAAAGGTTGTTTGACGATCTATCTGACCTCGTCTCAGCGCCGCCCTCGTGCACAAGTCCGGCAAAGTCCTGAGCGTCGGACATAACTGTCGCGTCCAGAAGGCGTCGATGACTCTCCATGCGGAGATGTACGTTCATTGCTCTCTCCTTCGATGCAGTCTGGATGTCACTTACCAAAAAATCCGATCAGGAACGCGCTGGAAAACCTGGGCCGGCCCGATCCATCACAAGGCGGCGTGCGCATCTTACGCGAGTGTACCATGTACACGACGTGAGTGTTTCACATTCGCCTGGGCGCACGTCCCATGCTTCAAACCTGCGGGAAGTTCCGATGCACGACGGCCTTCCACCTGCTTGCTTTTGCAAATGTGCTTACGGCGGCGTACCGCCTCCACCGTAGGCTCTCGCCCTGTATCATGTGCTCAGCCACCTGCTCGCTCTATCAAATTCCACGTGTTGTACTGGGAGAGAACGACTCTTTCGTTGGTGGCGAGACGTTCCTGAAGGAGCGTGGCGTTGAGGTAAGCTGCGTTGCCCCTCAGTCTATCTTTCGCTGATGTTCTCCTCGATTCCGGGATTCAGGTCATCAACCTCCAGTCCGAGGAGTGCAAGGAGATGATGCAGAACTGGATCGAAGGCAAGGGTAAGACGATCTGGTGGGAGGATATCGGATTAGACGAGAGCGAAAAACCCGGTCGTGCCTAATGTGGAGCTCTCTTGACGAACCGGAAGCAACAAAACTACTCGTAAGAGTGGGAGTTGACGCTGCAATACAACCATTGACCATTTCATGCACTGACCGACGTCGGAAAGGCAGCTGCACTCAAGCCATGACGAATGTCTTGAAGAGGGTGCGGGAGACGGGATGTCGGGATCTTCAATATCAACACCCTCAGGTTGCTGCGCCGGCATATATTTGAGTGCGCGCGTTTCCGATATCTCAATACATTCCGAGTCTGTCCTGTCCCATGCACGGCGCCTATCCAGTGATAGGAACAGCTATAAGACTCAATGGCCATAGCCGAACGTACACGCTACCTCAAGTCTTCATCATCTTCCCATCCTGGGCTCCTACCTCCCAAGATCCTCCCCATGTCATACATCCCCATCCCGGTGTCGTACCTTTACGCCTCGTTGGGCGCCTCCGTAGTTATCGCCGGTCTATGGGGTTCAAGCTGGCCGCATTGGTACTTTCACCTCGACGCGTTCCTTATCGCCTTCTCCGCCTTCAACTCCTTATGCTCGATTATGATCGTGCATCATATCGTCACCCTCCTCTGGTCTCACCATCGAGGACAGTGCATCTCGCCCAACCAGGAACATCGCGCCCAATGTGGGCGTTCCGCGTTCGCGCTTCATATCGCCAACATCACGTTCTTCCGTGTCATGCTGCTGCTCTTCGGGGTGGCAGTAATTCTTTCCGTCGTCAGGCTGATCCTGTACGCTTGGTGGAGGGGCAGTCTCCCGCTCGTTGCCTGCGGGGCTATCGAGACCGTGGTTATCTACGGGATCTTGGGGAAGATGAAGGAAACGCAGAGGCTGCGGGGTTCGTACGGGAAGAGCACGGCCCGCTGGCTTCTGTGCGGCCAGCGCCGCCCGGATACGGTGCCATCCCTTGAGTCGTAAACATATGCTGTAAGTTGGTTCGCTTTCGCGGCCAGTGAACATACGCGTCATCTCGACGCAAAAGCTGTTCATAGGACGAGATTTCCGCCTAGTTTCATGGACTACAGCGATTCGGACTTGATACATAGCACCAATTCGTATCCGGGTTTATGTTGCCGACACATATAAGCTGAGATTGTATACGCTGATGCATCGCCGAGATCGAGAGACCGATATAACTCGATCGTTGCTTGGGCACAATCTAAGTGTTGACTTGGTGTTGACTACCTCAGCCATGGTAGTTTGCATAGCATGGTCTTAATGGTGATTGTTGTCCGAAACCGGTGTCGATGATACAGCCGTTTCCGAAAAGATTGAGCGCAGCGGAAAAACGAGCCGCGCGTTGTGAACGACCCTACAATCGGGTTTGCCGCCAGCACATTGTGTTCGACAACCGTAACGATGATGCGCCCCAGGACCGCATGGAAACGATGAGTATACGTGTCCGGAGCTCAAAGGAGGATTCGTAGGTGTACTCAGGATGGTATCCAAAAGGATTTACTGCAGGGTCGAAGGAGTAGCAGGTAAAGATAATGTCAGGGAACATAGACCATGACTGTCGATGTTCCTTCAGGCAAACCGGGACACAGTGCAACCCCTCATGCTCCGGGAGTCTACGGATGATTTCGACAACGAGAAGGTGCCGGAAAGCTTGGGAGCTCGTCATTGAGAGCGTTGGCAAAGACCCCTATATTAGGGTTATTGCCAACGGCGGCGTGGCGCACTGAGGGCAGCATCGTAAGCATACTGTGTTAAATTGTGGTGTAATCTGCCGTGAAAGAGAGAATAGGCGAGTAGAAGTTGACAGAACGGGCGAAAGAGGATTCACCGGGAGGACCAAATTGAGGCGACTCAGAGGCTCTCTAAAGAACCTTGCACATCGGATTCCGAACCCCAAAACTGGTACCCTTCAGCTCTCCTATGCCCGGGTGCTCCTTGGACAACAACAGTAATGCGCTTCCGTCGAGATACACGAGTCGACGAACGTCCTGGACTCGCCGGCGTTGCCGTGACCCTATTTTAGGGCGAGTCCACGACGCGTCTCGTTTTTCGTGCCGCGCTCAACCTTTTCGGAAACGGCTGTAGGGACCCTTGCTTTCACCAAGTTAGACGTGACGTCGAAGACAACAGCGTGTGCTTCGCCCGGCACGGCGCTCCTATAGCTACCCTTGCCTTCCTTGTTCACATCATTGCCTCCCGCTGCGCGGTCTGGTTTAGTCGGATTACGCATGCCCAGGCCTTTTTGATGAAGTCTCAGCCCGCTCAATGTCTTGCGCGAAAGAAGTCCGGGGTGACAATACCCTCGTGTGAAGACAGCCTTTACGTCCGCTTCGAGCGGTTGTTGTTGTTGATGGGCTCATGGCCCATGCCGAGCTAGACAACCGAGCGCGGCGAATTATATGCGACGGTCTCCCAATGCTCTCACCACTTTCGAAGGTCATCCTAGTTGTCTCTGTCGATGCTCGTTCTGCCCCTCTGCCTACTGCTGGTGGTTGTTGACGCGCATCGGCTATCCTTGACGGGTCACAGACGCGACCCAGCACGAGCATGGACCAATAGACTCGGTCGCAGAGCGGCCCTAGTTGGCGTCTCCGACCTTAACGACAAGTCGGACGTCGAGTATACCACGAAATTGACCTTGGGAGGGAACGAATATAATGTGGTGGTGGATACGGGAAGGTACGAACTCCGTGGCAGCCCGGAGAGAGTCAAGGCTCACTGGTACTTCATTCAGTTCTGACTTATGGGTTTCCGGTGATGTGAAGAAGGTACCTCTTAGTGACGCTGCTTCAAGCTGGTTTGGCTGACGCCATCTCCGTGGCAAAGGCAAGTGATACCGGGAAAGGTACAACAGTCACATATGCCGTCGGCGAAGTGCAAGGTTTGTTTGCTTGCACTGTATCGGAGTTTACCTGCTCAAGATGAGAATCAGGACCTATCAGGCTCGCTGACATGGAGTTAGCTGGCTACACCACGGTACAGCAGGCTTTCAGTACGTCATGTGCCCTACGCCTCGCAACTCGCGAACTCATCCGGTGTTAGTCCAGGTATCAACGAAATCACGCCCAAAGGGGACGGGTCTCCTAGGTCTTGGACCTAATGTCGGGTCAAACATCTTCTACGCTCTGGGCGGGGCTTCCGGCGTCGCGCCTATGGATCGAATATTCATGCAGAACACCTCCACACCAACCTATACCACGATCATGCTTGGTAGATCTCACGGCTCGTCTGATACAATGCCAGGAGAATTCACCATCGGCGAGACCGTCTCAGGATGGGATGCCATCCATTCGCAACCGATGTTGCCCGTCACGATCGTTGACCAGGCCTCGAGCGCAGGCTATCAACACTGGCAGACCACGCTCGATGGGATCGTCGGGCCCGGAGGTTCCTTGATTACGCTCAATCGCTCCTTGACGGCGGCGTTTGACACAGGATTCACACTATCCCCTGTTCCCGAGTAAGTTCGCATTCACCTACTTGTGATGAGCGTGACCTGATTGTACCGACTCAGCTATGTTGCGGAGCAAATATACTCCAATGTTTCACAAGCGAAGCTCGAAACCGTCCATCCATATGGCGAAGTGTGGACTTTGCCGTGCGACGTCGAGCTGAACATGACGATGCAGTTTGGGAGTGTCCATATACCCATTCACCCCTTAGATACCAACTTCGATGCAGGCCTTAAACATAAATGCATTGGTGCCGTGAGTTTTCTCTTCACAAGATTGTCATGCCATGGAGCTAATCCTCGATGATTATCAGTTTCAGCCCATCACCGGGAACGCAACTGCCGACACCGGTAACTGGGATATGATTCTCGGGATGTCTTTCCGTACGTGATCGTGTTCGTGTGCAAGCTGCTATGATATAACGGTTCTTTTGCAGTTCGCAATGTGTACCTGCTGATCAACTACGGCAACTTCATTCCTTGCTCCACATCTCCCTGTCTTACTCGCGACGACCCCTACGTGCAGCTCATGGCCACAACAACAAATCCGAGCGTCGTGCACGACGACTTCGCCCGCGCGCGACTACACTCTCATTCTCTACCGTTACCGATCTGGGCCATCGTCGTCGTTGCCATCGGGGTCGCCTGCCTGATAGCTGGAGCCATCGTCGTCGCCAGGGTCATCCACCGACGGAAGAAACAACGAACGATGGCTATGATCCAGCTTGCTCCCAGCGACAGCAAGTCGCGAGGTGCCTACAGTGCCGTTGACGGGGAGATTGATGGCGAGATAGACGGACGTCCCCGCCGGCCGGAGACTGGACACTTGCGATCTGCCAGTCTAGGCTTCGACATTTTGGGCGGAGAAACCCTTTCTTCGCGTTATTCACGCTATCCTTCATGGTCAGGGGCCGACACAACATTGAGAGCGTGAACGATTTGCATTGCGATTGCGACGATCTAATGATACATATGAAGAGTGTGCTTGCGTCTATCTGTCTAATCTAGGGTCTTAGGGATGCAGGTTGTGTATAACAATACAATATGTCAGGACGTTGCTTGCATTGTGAATTGCATGCGCATGCACGATTCATTGCCGCTTGGGAAGGCTGTCAATGACCTGCATCTCCTCTAAGCTGACAGTGGCTTTCCAGAAGCCCATGATTGACTCGTCCTCATCGATATATCTGGAAACAAGGAGGTCAGCACAAGATTAACAGAAGGTCATGGTCGAATGAACGCACCTGAGTAGGGTCTCCGCTTCGACCGGCTCCGGCGCGGATGAACTCTGCTCTGCACAGAGCCCGAGGTATGCGGCCACGATCGACATAGCGTCGCCCGGCCTCAAGCCAGACGTGGAGATGAGCACAGCAGTGGTGGATTGGTCCTGTTTCTGGCAATCCTTGAGCTTATCGGGATTCGTGATATCATGAACCCGGTGGCCCAAGGCATCGACAACCCAGCTTCGCGCAGCGACGAGCTGTTCCGTCGAGAGAAGGTCGGCGGGTTTAGAGATGCAGCGAGAGGGAACGGTGAGACGAAGCCGGTGCGTGCCGTCTTCGTCGGTTGAATGCTCGACGTTCGGCTCCGAGCGTTGCGAAGCGCGGCCGGGGCGACCTCGTTCCGGGGAGACATTGATGACGTGCGTGAAGCGCGGGATGGCTTGAGTGTTGCGGGATCCCTCCTCGGCACCTCCGGCGAAGGCGACGTAGAGGCCGTCAACAAGGCGCTGAGCGCAACTGCCAACGTCAACGATCTTCTCTACGACCGGCTCTTCGACAGGGACGGGGGCGGCAGCGGCAGCCTCTCCGGCTTCAGCGGCGTCATCATCGTCGAAGAGGATGACGCGCTTCTTCTGGCCGTTGCGGCGGCGGGGAAGGCGACCGCGCTCGGGGCCAATGGCACCCTTGGCGGCAACGACGATGGCGGGCGCATTGGCCGTGAAGTGGGTATCGATGGTGAGCTTGAAAGGAATGCGCTCGCGCAGAGGTCTTGGGGTTCCTACTTGGAGATGGGAGGGTGGGACGGTCAAGCTGGGTGGCGGCGCAGGCAGGGTGGCGAGCATGGCGACAGGGATAGGTGCAAGCACGGAGAGCATGTTGGACAGCAGAGAGAGCGGGTGATTAGAGATTGGTGAGAGGATGCGGCGCTCCAGGCGTGTATGACAGTGATAAGATCTTGGTCGATGAGGGTTTCGACGGTGGTGTGAGTTCGATTGTCGTGCACGTAGAAGACCTTCGCTTTTTCGTGAGTGGATGGGTCTGGGTGCGAGATCGGAGTGAAAGGTGCGTTGTGGATGTCAAGGCGGAGGGTACCTTGTATTTATAAAGAAAAGATACTCGTGTTTGCATTGAGGACGCGGAAGCTCGGAAACGGCCGTGAATGGGGTACCCGCTAAGCAGCCGCTATTGCCGCCAGCGGCCACCCAGCGGCCACCACTTTCGATCATCCCGTCTATAAACGGGATGAACAGAGCCTGAAAAAAAGTGTGAGCGATGTGCATTTATGCACGGCCTAACGAGCCTAGGCGAACCATAGCCAGTATACGCGTCCAAAATGCATCGCTGGTCGGTCTTTTGCTGGGGAGGAGCGCGTGGGATAGATCACACCGGAATGGCGTATGGTATGCCAGTCGTTCCGCAGCGCGGGCGGCGGTGGATAGACCGCACCAGGCTGGCTTAGTCCGCGTTGCTGGAGTAAGCACATACCTGGGGGCATGTCCTCCTCCTGGTGGTTGTTTCTTCGCTCGCGATGGCCGGTCAATCTCTGCGTCACCGATTATTAGAGCCGCAAAAACGTCTATTGTTTTGCGTGGACAGGTAGCTGATGAGCTGACGGCGCGTCGGCTGGGCGTCTATATGTCTATCATGACATCATGCATCAAGCGCCCGTCCTGTCGAGGCTGCACGGACCTTCGAAGTTCGTCCTCAAGCCCGCCCCGATCACAGCCTTCTCATACCTGTGCCTCCTGTCTCTTCCAGGTCACAAGCGCTGCTGCATAGTCAGATCGATTGGGCAGAACACGACAGCTTCGTATAGCATAGCCCCGCCCTTGCTCTGCCACGATAAGAAGATCTCTGCCTTCTTGCGTGGCCTACGGAAGATCAACTTCGACATATAAAGGTCTGCTCGCAAACAATGTCGCACTACCCATTACCTCCACTCATACGTCCCTCAGGCTCACTTGACTAATCTACAAACATGTCTTACGGAGGATACGCACCCCCTGCTGGTGGTCCACCCGGATACGGTGGTGGAGGCGGTGGCGGATATGGCGGCGGATATGGCGGACCTCCAGGAGGAGGCGGATACGGCGGCGGGTTCTCCGCTCCCGGCGCTGGCGGTCCCCCTCCCGGTGCCGATCCTCAGTGAGCACATACCGCGCCCGCAATGCCCGAGTTCTTCCCGCTGACCTCCCCGATTTTCTAGGCTTTGGCAATGGTTCTCATCGGTGGACACCGATCGCTCCGGAAACATCAACGCTAATGAACTCCAACGAGCCCTGATCAATGGCGACTGGAGCCGTGCGTGCTGCTGCCATGCGAGAGATCTCTGACTTTGCTCAGTGTGACCCTGGCCATCGCAGCGTTCGATCTTGACACCGTTAAGCTTTTGATGACCATCTTCGTACGTTCCCCTGCAGTCATCATCCACCGGCCCTTAATCACGCTCATGGCACCTTGTCAGGATACCGATCGGAGTGGAACCATCACTTTCAACGAATTTGCAGGTCTATGGAAGTACATCCGAGTCAGTCACATATATCGCAGGTTACGTTCGAGACTGTCACTAATACCACGTCCGTCTTCCGTGCAGGACTGGCAAAACGTCTTTCGCCACTTCGACCGCGATCGCTCAGGATCCATTGACGGTCGCGAACTCCAGGAGGCTCTGTCGCAGTTTGGGTGAGCGCGTGAGACTGACCAAGTGTACAACATGAAGATCTAACCTTTCTGATTAGCTACAATCTCTCCCCCCAACTGCTCACCCTCGTCGAACGCAAGTACGGTGAGTAGCAGTCACCATAGTGCATTATCGAACGCGCGCTCATTGGCTCTACCCTTTTGGGGTAGACATGAAAGCTGGCGCCGCTAGCGGAACAGGCATCACGTTTGATCGGTAAGCCTCCCTCCACTGTATCGAGGCCAGAGCAGATGGCTGATGTTCGCTGTTCGTTGCGCAGTTTCGTCCGTGCTTGTGTCGTGATCAAGCAAGTTACGGAATCCTTCCAGCGCCTCGACACCGACCGCGATGGTTGGATCCAGATCAACTACAACGACTTCATGCAAACCGTGCTCAGCGCTCCCTGAGCGGATGACTGCGATAAATCCGTCCTTGGTCGACGCTGTTTGAAGATGATGTACTCTTGCGTGCATTCGAATCTTTCTGTGCTGGACCGTCGCGCCTTGTTCTATGGTCGTGTTGATTATCCTACGTAATGGCACTCATATATGTACTTTGTAACAACAGAGCTGGCTGGCCATGCGATAGGCAAGCAGTATAACACCGCGATGTGCTTTTGCGTTTCTGGCATGCATTAGAAAACAGTCCGCTTTTTAAAAGTCGAATATGGAGTCTCGCAGGGGCCACATCAATTCCTGGTCGTCCCCGACGCCCACGTAAACGCGCAAGACGTCCCGAGCCTGTAGACTCGGGAAAAGCATCGCGATCTGGGCTCGTTCGGCCGGATAGTGCATGACGATGTTCACGCGCTCCAGTCCCTTCACCACCGGCGATCCGATCGCGAGGTCCAGGGCATCGGCCAAAGTGAGATGGTGCCACTCCGTAAGAACGCGGTATCTTGCGTAGCTAACCGGTTTCTGCTTCTCTTCTTTGCCGAGGTCGTACGCGACGGTGAGGATCTTCAGGGGCGGGACATACTCTCGCGATACCGACGACAGTAAGCCCGGCACCCATTGCAGGGGCGTGGACCGGCTAAGGGAGATCGTCACATTGACATAAAGGTGTTCCAGGTGGGTCAGAGGACCGAGATTGAGATGCTCTGGGGGATGGCGATCAGTGCTTCCCAAACCGGGGTGACGAAGCAGATGAGAAAGGCAAACCTCCCGGCCTCACGAGCACGAGGGGGCCGTAGCCCGTGAGTTGCAAGTGCCTCAACGACGGCGCGACGTGCTGTAACAGCTTGCGTTTATCTCTGCGAATGGAGAAATCGGTGTGGACGGTCAACGTTTCCAATCTCGAGAGGGATACCGTGCCCCAAATCAGGTTGCACAGGTTGAAGCTGCAAGATCCACTGAACGCGATGCTCTTCAGAGATGGGGACGATTTTTTGGTATCGGGCGTCCAAGAGGCTGGTGGTTTTCCCCATTCACCACCGAGCTCTAGCCGCTCGAGAAGAGGGAAAGCGACAAGCATGCTCGTCAACATGTCGAAGTTGCAGGAGAGTCCTGCGGAATTTAACAGGCTCAGTCTCCTGATCCCCCGAAATCTCGCCAGCAGAGGCATGCACGACTCATGATGTGCCGACCATCGATAAAAGTCGGGCATGCGCATGTGCTCTACGCACGGTAACGCGGCCGTGGGCCACTGTAGAGCCGACATCGGCAAACCATTCTTGTCTGACGAACGAGTCAGACCAATGGGTTAGCTCGTTGCATACATGCACAAAAACGTCCCGCGCACCATTCCGGAGATTCAAGCATAGTTCGCGAACGCAGCTTGCTACCCTGGGATCGCGTTGCACGAAACTCCGAAAGTCATCGAAGGACGATGTTGGACCGGCATTGAGCCGTATGACGCGGAAGAGGTAGCGCTGGGTGGATAGTCTCCAAGCGGAGGATAACAATGCGCAGGATGCCAAAGTCTTGCGATCGAAACTTTGTTCATCTCAGACTTTGCTGTGGTCAGGGTAAATATGACCAAGGCTTACCGGAGAAAGTCCACGATGCTATCCACCAATTCCTGGGGCAACGTGATGTTGGTTTTCGACGGCACAAATTCAAGTTCGTCGTGTAGCCCTGGCTCTTGTATTCTCCAAGTCTCTGATATCAGCCGCACCATGACAGGGACCGGACGAGTGTGAACGTCGCAGATACGGAAGGGCGATCACGCAGCTAGCAACGTCTAGACATCATGATTCTGAGCATAACAGAGAATCACTCAAGAGTCACATCGCGGTTCCGCACGGAAGAACTGGGTGTAGGCGTGAGAGACTTGCAGGGATGATCCCGCTGCTATCGCGCGCCCTCATCGACGTATGCAAAGACGAACCTGAAGATTAAGCTCAGTAAATGATAGGAACAGCTTGATATGAGGATTTGAACATGCTCAAATACAGAACCGACTGCCTAAATAGACAATATAATACCCTACGCTAGGCATCGCCCATGACTACATCCTCGTAGCCCGATGCGCCATTCCTTATCGCTTCCGCGGCGCGGCCTTTGATGACGGTCAGCGGGAAGAGGTACAAATGAAATGGCTGTCACTCACGAATTGTAGCAATCTTGGAGCGCATGACACTGACAGCTTCGTGCATCAGCCGTTGCGGCTCATAGGCACCTTCGGACTCGATGTTAACTGTCAAACGCGGGGTGAGCCATCTCAAACACGTTAATCAAAGGCAAAGGCAGATATACATAGAAAGTAATCCCGCACTCTCCTGAGATCCACGCAGCCTTCGAACTCGGGATGGCGAAACACTTCTCGACTCATGGTCTCTTTCCTGACGTTCTTCTGGTCAACAGAAACAGCCTTCGTCTTCGGATCCACTTTGATGACGCCTGCACGCGGATAGAAGAGCGGTGAAGTGAGTGAATGCACATCTATGCGAGATCGTATACGGACCGGGAGCAAAACATTTTTGGAACTTTTCCGCGTATTCGGGAGGTACAGGCTTGTCAGGGTTGAGAATGATGTGAGGGAGGAGACGATATGATGCCGTCGCTAGTACACACAATGAGACATAGAAGCCTTGAAGTAGGTAATGGTCCCGACTCACCGACGGGGCAAAACTTTGCGTGATCTTTTCCGACGCTTTTGACCGCGTGCAACTCCATCTCAATTTCTTGGCCTGGCCGCAGCTTGGCGAGCACTATATCTGGGTTGGTCGGAGCAGGACGCTTTTTTATGAAGGGTTCATACGAAGCCTGATCGCCTATTGACGTTTGGTGTTTGCTACATTGCAGAGAGCAACGTGAGGCGCACCTTGCGGAACCCACTCTAGTTGGCCTGAAAGGACCTCGTGGTTCACGTATAGCTCGTCAGGATGCTGCTCTTCAACGGGCTGCGGCTCTTTGCCCTTGCCCTTTGCTTTTGAATCCTTCTTCTTTCGTTCACATGCGACGTGAAGGCGGAACACAATGGTGTTGCGGTCCGTGGCCTGGTCATCCGGCGGAGCTAGAGCAACGTGAGGACGACGTCGCCAAATGCATTTGTCTACGATCCACATACGATCTCGTTCGTCCAAGAGGGCCGGATCTACATTCAGAGGCACAAGGCCAAGGCGATGAGACAGAACTTCGTCGACGATGACCGAGGTGTTATTCCACACGTAAACGTGCTCTATCGCGATGGTAGGTACCTTGCCATGGCAGGAATCGGGATAGCATGAGTCATACGTTCTTTCCGGGGTTCGGACGTGACACACCTCCGCGATTAGAATGCGACGGATAGCGTTCGCTATCGAAGCGTCAACTCCGACAAGGTCGAACTCGACTGAGCGTTGCGATAGACGAGTCACTTTCACTTGAAGGTTCTGGACTTGCGGAGAAAGTCAGCACCGTGCGTGAGATATGTGGGAGATGAACGCGTTGTTGGGTCGAGGATGAAGGAATGGCAGCTTGAACGAATGATGAATCCACCTTCTTGAAGCGAGCCAAGTCCCAGCTGTGCTCCTCCTCCTTGCCGGGGTAGTGGCCAGGGAAATCCGTGCTGGAGACATCGGCCACGCGCTCGGGGAGAACCTTGATGTGCCTCCGTGGGTCAGATACTGATGGGCCAGCGGTCCGAGGAGGCATGTTGGGGAATGCGGTCGGATGTACGCGCTGCCTAAGAAACAGATCGTAGCTGAAGTCGAGTTTCCTGGACAAAAAATTGCGCACGTGATCGTCAGGTGCCGCCCCCAACGCCGAGTGCGGGTCTGCGCGGGTCTGCGGGTTCTATACGGGTCGGGCGGGGCGTTCGTAATTCCAGTACGGATGCGCCGCATGTTCTCATTGCTCAACTCGTCGATGCTGCTGCCCTCTGTGGTCCTCGACATTGGCTCATCATGCATGATTCAATGACTCCCGCCTCCAGATATAGCTTCTCTGGATGACGCATCGTTTGGTAGTCAGCAAGCAACCTTAGATAACTCGCGGTGCGCGGTGCGACGAGTCTCGGGTTTGGCAGTGGGCGTCCCGGAAGGTGGGTTGCAAACCAGCATATATATAGTCGCCCTTGAGCTCATAGACTGAACCGCTCCTCCCACAGCGAATCCCACTGTAACACCTCCCTCTTACCAGATCCGGCATGTCCCCACTCACCGGCAAAGTTGCCCTCGTCACCGGTTCCTCGCGTGGCATCGGTGCTGCGATCGCCAAACGGCTAGGCGCGGACGGCGCGAACGTCATCGTCAACTACTCTGGCAATACCAAGGTCGCCGCAGACGTGGTCGATGCGATCAACAGCCAGCGCGGCGATAGCAAGGCGGCGGTCGCGATCCAAGCCGACTTGTCCACCGTGCAAGGCGCCAAAGACCTCCTGCAGAAGTCGATCAACGCGTTCGGGCATGTCGATATCCTGGTGCTCAATGCCGCGATCATGGGCGTGCACAAATGCACGCTGCCGGAGGTCGATGAGGCCTTCTACGATCAGCACTTCACCATGAACGTGAAGGTGCCGTTCTTCATGGTTCAGGCGGCAGCCCCACAGCTCAGAGATGGTACGTAGTCAGCTCAGTGCCCCAGAACAGTTTCTGAAGATTTTATTCTCAGGCGGTCGCATCGTCTTCCTCAGTTCTACTCTCACCGTCGCTTCTGTCGGTAAGTTGCGTAGCATTTCCCCGAGCGGATTGTGCTAACGACATTGATAGTGCCGACAACGGCTCTCATCTACGCGTCGACAAAGGGCGCTATTGAGCAGATGAACCGAGTTCTCGCAAAGGAGCTCGGCCCGAAGGGTGTCACCGTCAATACCGTATCTCCGGGTCCGATAGACACGGAGCTCTTCCGCAACGGCAAGACGGAGCAACAGATCAAGTTCTTCGAGGGACTCCATCCGTTGAAGCGTATCGGCCGTCCTGATGAGGTCGCTCCGGTTGTAGCGATGCTCGCGAGCCCCGAAAGTTCGTGGGTGAACGGACAGAACATCCGAGTGAACGGCGTACGTGAACCGCATGCCCATCCTCACATCGTACTTACCAATCATACCCAGGGCTATGCTGTTTGATCGTACCAATAAAACCATCGGATCTGCTATGCTACCGGTGGCTCGTAACGGATAGCATGGTCCAAAGACGCCCAACAATGTATACTAAACGGTCCCATGCACACCCGACTCGGGCATGATCATGGATGCTGATCAAGAGTAATGCAGCGAAATTCTAAATTGCACCTCCGCCCATTTATTCCATGAATATATAATGGACATCGAGAACATGTTTGACTGTCTTTCGCGCGTCGCCTTCGTCTCCGAACACTTCCATACGAACGTTGAAGCGCTGTTCCTGACCAAGAGGTGATTCCGTGTCATGAACAGGCTCAATGTCGATATCCGCGGACTTAGATACGACGGCCGGTAGCTTTTCCTGACGCTTGCCAGGTTTTTGACGCACCCGTGTCGATTAGTTTTAGTTTGACATGTTCTCTTCACCTGTCCCGCCGGTCTTGGTTGGACTTCGTAGAATACTTAAAGCTCTCTCTCGTCGCACTAGAACCTTGTCTTGGCAACGCCAGTGACTCGCACTTGTATCCTACTCGCGCTACCTAAATTCTATCTTACTCCTCCCTTCGCCTCTCGTCCTCGGCCTTGGTCCTCACATTCCGTAGCTGAAAAGACGGTGAGATGCGTGTCGAGTCGCCTATGTGCACAGAAATCTTCGTTATCGAGTTCAGATGACGTTCTCTATAACTCCCTCTGAAGAGATCGTTGAATATGTAAAAGTAACGTTCCTGTGGCCGTGTTCGGACGGTCTTGCACGTCTGTCAAGGTTTGTGTTTACCTGAGCGCTTATGATTCGCACGCGGGGCCGAGCGCTTAGCCAGGATGTATACATCGCCACAACTACCATATAGAGCCTGAGAGCTGAGCACGCCATCGCCCTCGACAGAGGTATATAGCTCTAATACGCGCGGGCTCGCTCTGCATCTGCTGTGCCACCGACTCCTCGACTTTCCATGCATCCTAAGCGCGCTTGATTTCATTCGCACCGTTCTGCACATGTCCCCAATAGCCCCAACCCACGCATTGTGCTACTCCAACCTTCTGTCATAATATGCAAGTTCATCCCAGGTAGTCCCCAAATTCAATAGGTCATCCAGCAATCGTTCGGACGTCGAGAGCGTGGGGCATTCACCACTGTCTAGACCGGTGAGACGCGAAGAGTCCGGTCTATAGTAACTGTCTGGTTCTCGCGACGGCCTTCTATCGCTGAGTTGCTTTCGCCCTGCTTTGGTAGCTCTGGTCGCTGTCATCCGTCGCCTTATCGAAAAGCGTGGTCTGTTCACGAACATGGAGGGTGACTACATCCCCTCCCTCTCCTCTCGGATCATCTGGCCCTTATCGATGATCAACCTCGTGTTGTGTCATGCGGCGGCCTTCGGATCCCATGCCTTGACGTATTCCGAAATCCAGTCCCTCCATTCCTTGGGATCATCTTGCAATCCAATGGTCTCCCTCACGTTGGCCGCTTTGGTGCCGAAACATGGGGCGGCTTCACGTTTGCATTGACGTGTTCTATCCTCCAGTGGCCCGGCTTACCTCCAACGAAGCCCGTGGTGGGGATAATTGTGAATGCTGTGATGCTCGCCGAGGCACAATTCGGAATTGATCGACCAGGTCAGGATAAGAGCCCCGTTTTCTTGACTCCGCCACACTTGATTGGTCTGTTTCAATACGTACTGTTATCGGCAACCACACGGTCCTCGGCCGATTGCTTGTAAAGTACGCTCATCCGAATGCTATAAAAGAGTACACATCGCTTGCTTTCCAGCACCATACTCTGCTTGCGTGAATCCGACTACTCCCTATCGCAGTGCCTAGCATGTCCTCCGCGTCAACACCTACCTCTACAAGCTCAGAATCTCTCTTCGATCTGCCCTCACCGAGCTCGTCATCATCGGCATCGTCCGTACATTCCACTCGTCGCGAGGGCAAGCATGGTACGTTTTTGCGGGCATTTCAAGAGCGGTCGTTGATACGATAAATTGTTCATGAGCAGATAACCACTCGCTGCCATTCTGTTTCTCGCCGCTTCCCAAAGATAAGAATCCATTTGGCGCGCCGACGGTGGAAGAGTGGCAGGAGCTGTGGAAAGCATGGGATTGTGTCACTTTGGGTAGGCGACGGGGTACCCCTGGTTTGTGCGCCCATCAGCTAATAATGCGACAGGAATGATCCCTCGTGAGATGTTGCTTCAAAAGCCGATCGACCTTCGCCACAAATGTCTTTTCTACATCGGTCATATACCTACGTTAGCAATTCCTTCTCCACGAAGTCTGCGTTCATGCTGAACTCCATGTGCTCCAGCTTTTTGGACATGCTTCTCGCGAAGCAGCTGGGTGAGCCCAACACAGAGCCCAAGCGATTCATGTCGATTTTTGAAGTATGCCACCGTTCATGTTGTGAGGTAAATGATTTAATATTCCTAACAGAGGGGAATCGACCCACACGTCGATGATCCGGAGTATTGCCACGTACGTTCAGGAACTAGATTTGCCGCTAGCTGCTTACTCCTGTTGGTAGTCGCATTCTGAGGTGCCGGAGAAAGACGAAGACTGGCCAGCGATAGAAGAAGTTGTTGCCTTCCGCGACCGTGTACGTGCACGGCTGCTCAGGGTTTACAGCGAGCTCGACTCTGGTTGGTGCCTCGAATTCATTCCATGCGAGTCGCTCATTATGTATATCCCAGGCACCCGGATCATTGACCGACGCCTTGCTCGCGTGCTCATGATGACGCTCGAACACGAAGGCTGGCATGTCGAAGTACGCCCGGTATCCGAAAGATACCAGTACACCAATTGACATTCAACGTTATAGACTCTCCTTTACATGCTCATTCAACGTGCCGGCACCGGAACATTACCCCCGCCTGGCTTTCCGTCGCCCGATTACGACGCCTTGACTGCAGAGTGGTCCCTGATACAGAAACCGAGCACACCTACTATCACGCTTGGCCCAGCCCAAGTGTGGCTCGGCCATGATGACTCGGAGCTGGACGACCTTCTCCCCTCGCTATCAGCGCTCTCTCCTGAGGAGAGGAGGCGGGACGTTGATGAACACGAATTTGGCTGGGACAACGAGAGCCCGCGACGCGTCGTAGAGGTGGGGAAGTTCATGGCTGAGTGGCGGCCAGTAACGAACGCGGAATATATGGCATTCTGGAAGGGCGCTGGTCAATCCAGGCCCATGCCAACCACTTGGGTAGAAGAGGACGGAGAACTGAAGGTGAGACCGTCGGTTTCGGTCAGACTTGGAAAAACATGTTGCTCATGAACGGGGTGAAGATTCGTACTCTGCACGGCCCTATCTCCTTCGCTATCGGCGCGGAGTGGCCAGTTCAGACTTCCTACGATAATATGGAGGCCTACGCCCAACACAAGGGTGGCCGGCTTCCCACCGAGGCGGAGCTGAGGCTCTTCCTGGACAGGTACGAAGTCGGGCACGATGGCGGAGCCAATGTAGGCTTCCGCAACTGGCACCCTACCCCGTAAGTCACATCCCTCCCTGGCGACGTAACGCTGAACAGGTCATAGCGCGACCACAGGCCGTGCTGACAACGATGGTCGTGGTTCAAACGGCGGTGTTTGGGAATGGACGAGTACACTCTTCGAGTCTCATGACGGTCTAGCACCTACCAATATCTTCCCTGGGTACTCAACCGATTTCTTCGATGGAGTACACCATGTGGTAGTGAGTTTCTGTTTGACTATGGCCACTGCATAAACGTGACGCAGTCGTACACAGCTCGGCGCTTCGTATGCCACCATCCCTCGCATAGCAGGGCGACGTACCGTAAGGAATTTCTGGCAGCACAACTATCCATACGTGAGTGATCTAAGTCAGGCTTTCCGCTTTCTCAATCCTCACGTCCTCTTGAAAAAACAGCCTTGGATTGGAGCTAGAGTGGTTTACGATGCGTAAGGACGCTACGTCACGATGGTGGTGTAAGTTTCTGCCTGTGCTTGCGTGTACTTGTACTATTTCAACTACATAAACTGAATGGAGGGCATGTTCTCCCACCTAATCCAGAAATGGGGTCCGTTTGGATCCTGAGCTTCCGTGAGCAGGAAGATGCAGTCGCAGACTGCAACATGGGCGTAACATCGAGTGACTGGTAGAATAACCGCTCAAAATTGAGAACAATAGATCACTCTTTCGCATACACCTTCATGCCGTCCACGAAGAGGTAACCAGCGAAGGTAGCTTTTATTATACACATATTCCTTCATGTAGAAACACGGTTTCCCCTCCTTCCAACTTTTATGATAACCTGTCGTCCTCGGTTGAAAAGGGTTTTGAGGGTGAGGGCGATACCACGACCGCTCAGGCGGAAGGCGAAGGCCGCTTGCCGAGCAAGTAGCCGATCGTCTGGAAAGTGGCCCAAGGGACAAACTCTGCGGGAAATGGTTATGGAGAATGTTCTTGATCACAGAACGAGCGTGACTTACGGGGTGTCATATGGCCGCTGAAGAAGAACTCTACATCTATGAGATATCATTATGGTCAGCGGTGCACCGTGAATGTCTCGGCGGGCCAGAAGTGCTTACAAGTGAGGTTCCGCTCCTGGTGCATGTTCCCGTACACGCCCATGTTCTCCACGACGAACGTCTCAGGTTCTATAGGCGTCTGGAATCCTTGGAGGCCTCCCCAAGTCATGTTTCTGGATGACAACCGCGTTCAGTCAAGGAGTCCTCTGCTAAAGAAGCATGATGTACTGGATAGCAATTCGCGTGCCCTCCGCTATCAATATCATGTCCTATAAATAAGGGCGTCAGTCCGCAGCAACTGCACGGAAGCGGTCGGAACTTGCAGCAAGGCCGTGCTGAATCACCGTTCGTTCGGACTTCTCGATGACGTTCGGGAGCACGCTGAGAGTTGAGGGGATGGACTGATCTCTACCACGGCCGCCGGTTGCGGAGACGTAGACGGATCCACTGGCACAGGTGCTCCATTCGATATGCGGTGCATGAATTGCATCTTGTACCTAAATAACAAGTTGTACGAGGCGCAGCGTGGTTGTCAGAAATATCACTCACATCGGTCCTGTGACAATGCGTGATGCAGTGTAAGCAATGATGAGCAGCGTGATGGCATACGGGCTGACCTATTGAAGTAGATAAACTCCTGCGTGGCGCGAGGGAAACCAAGAACACTCCCTGCTCCGATAAGTAATGAATAAGTAGTATTGATGACGCAGACGTACAGACAATCGGCCAAGTATCTGAGATGCGGTAGATATTGAATGCGGGATTCAATCTATATCGTTAGGCATCAATTTCCGCTAACTTCTGTCTTTGACCCTGCTTACTTGGTGACCTCATTGATGATGGAGTCAAATATGTCGCAACTGCGCTGAATGGTCCCGAAGGTTCCCGGTTCGACCGCGGCCGGGAACGGCAGCTGACCTGTCGGAGGATATGTGACAAAATCAAGGTAGTCGGTGTAGCCACATGTGTCAGAAACGTTCTGCAGCTGCGCGTAAAACGATGAATTGAACGGGAAGAGGTTCCTGTTCGCCTTGAAAAGACCGTCTTGAATGTATGTTTAAGCGATCGAGTGAAAGGGTAGGTACCTGTGCAAAGCGAAGTGCAGGTATCTGCTCTTGAACAACGCCATATGTCAGAGAAGGGTCCGCGATCCATATACCCTTGAGTTTCAGGTCCACCGTGCTGGGATGCTCGTACTGCACAACACGGTTAACCTCATGGAAGGAGCAGACAAGATGACTGAACGTACGATCCAGTTCGCAATATACGGGACATCTTGTCGGACGTTTAGGACCCACCTTCAGGTAAAGACAATCTCTACTCACAGAAACCAGCATACTAGGCGGAAACGGATTAAGCGACTATAACGACAATAGTCGCTATGGCAGCAACTTACGCTTTCTCCCGAGACGTAGAAGTTGCTACCCTTCAGTTCACTGAAGACTTCGAGGAACTGGGAAAGGAAGCCCGCGACTTGTTCAGCGAGCTCGTCGTCGTTCGTGATGTTCGGCGTTCCTTGGCTGAATCCGGTCTGCGCCCAGTGAGTACAAGAATCCCCGACGCGGGCCCAGCGATGAAACGTACTCCAACGGGCTGCTCTACCCAGAGGACGTTAGACAGGTTGGTCCAAGACCAGGGATTTCTGGGTCACGCTTTCAGTAGGCTCACATATACGGTCCCGTGTTTAATCGACACTTACTCAGTAGGTGCGGATTGGCCCCAGTTCCATGCTGGAAAATGAGGAGCGTTAACCGATGAAAAGGACGGAAAATGTACTGAACTTACTAATAGGGCCGTTTTCCTGGAAGAAACCCTCAAGGGATGAGCATCCAGGTCCACCTAACGCAAAGAGTGTTCAAATCAGCATTCGTTGGTCAGAATCGACTCGATGACTTCACCGTTTGTCCAGAAGACTAAATCGTCCACATTCGAAGCGTTTCTTGTGGGCCAAAACCTGCTCATTATGAGGATCCGCAATATATCACATACATGTCCAATTACCAGAAGAAGAGTTTGCGGGTTTCATTGGGATCACCAGAGATTGGCATGAGACCAGACCACGATGGACCTGCGTCAAAGGGAACTGGATCGCAATGTTGAGTTAATCATGCGTGCATGCTGTGAGGGAGGATTGTACCGTCAGGCAATTTGGTCCCGTCAACCAGGAATTCCCGCGCTTTCGGGTTCGAGAAAGTGATCGTGGATTCGCGCTTGGCTGGTGCCCTTGCGGAAAGGGTTTCTGTACCCTCTTGAGACCCCGGCGGGCCAAGGAAGTCGCTCATACGCTGTAGCTGCTCTTTCTGGAATGACATGGCCTTGTCCATATCCTCATGCATATTGGCAGAAGCAGAAGGTAGGTGCGACACAGAAAGGAGCCCAGTAAGCCATGGTAGGATGTGCTTAGCGAGTTGGACCATTGCTGGAAAGACGGTACAGGAGGGTATGTAAAGATGCGACTTAAGTAGCCGACGGGCAGCGCTTGCTCAGAGTTGCGCCTGCATCGATCGGCATTTTCATTCAGACAAGAATATAACGTTGCGCTTGGTTGCCTAAAGAATACGAGGGGCTCTGTCAGCTGATGCGCAACTCTACAGAAGGAGACGTACCGTATGGCGCAGGAAGAGTACTGACCAGAATACCTTTTTGCTCAGCCGGGTCATCGAAAGCATTGGAACCTTGGCAAGCGTCTACGTTGGTAGAGTAAGTTGGTCCTCAGCGTGTCGTGTGCCGCATACATCGGACGTTGTACCGCGACAATCGAACACCCACCCGACGTGGTGTGGGTTGTGGTCCAGAGAATCCTCGACCGCTCGGAGTCCGATAGCATAGCGCGAACGGCGGGAACCAAAGACCCAAAGCAGGCGCCGAACCCGAGTTGCTTCTATTGGAGATAACAAGGAGCACGCGTCTACCGGAGCAGCACAGTAAGAAATCATCGGCCATCCAGTGTTCGCAGTAAGAAACCGTGACTCCAAGCGCATACATGTACGTTCGATGGGAAGCATGGCCGTCTATGTACATCATCAACACGTACGATGCAGTGCGCGTTGAGCAGCCCGCTGGACGACGTCGCAAAACGCCCTCGCACGGTGGCGCGGAAGAGCTCTCCTCTTTATCATCGCTCCTCGTCATGGGACCCGGTGGCCAGCAGCTTCTGCTTCTCGTCTGCATGTTGTTGTCCGGCCTGGATGCGCGAGGACATGGACATTCAGATGAATCGACCCGTGTTAGAAATAACCTTCGGATCTCGCCTTTCTCCATCCGCATCATGGATATTCTGGACGCCACGCTCGAATGGCATAACTCGGACCATATCGTCGATCGCCGGTTGGACGAACTCAGAGCTTTCCAGAGATGTATGTCGCCTTCGCATGCTAGCTTTATCGATCATCTTTTAAGCGGAGGTGGGAGATGGTCCGAGAACATGGATATTTTCGCTGGCAGCACCTCCACTTGCCGTCCAGTTTTACCGCAAGATACTCTCGGCCCCTCGAGCTATAGATTGTGTTGCGCCTTGAACGGAAAGAGTCTCCTCTTGGTTGGCCCGGCCAGCAGCTATCGACGTCACGATCAGCTTCTGCAAACCTTGGTAGTACATTCCAACGCAGAATCGACGCCCTGTCCCGGATCCGAGTTTTGCACCTTTCATCAAGTATGCCAGCGTATCGAAGGCCATAGTCGGGAAGATGGACGTGGAGGCCGAGGAGACAAAAAGCAAGGCTCCAGAGTGTCCGTGCCCCCTTCAGCCAAGGAACTAGCCGAATCCCAATCGGCCTTGATACGCTACACGCTCTCGGACTCCCTTTATGCGCCAGACGATACCATCATTGTCAATGACCCAATGTTTCCCGATCCACGCCTCGTACTCCCATATGTCGATCCAGACACGGGTGTTCGAGTGAAGGAGACCCATTGGCTCTTCAAGGCGAGACGCGCTGACGTTATCATCATATCCCGAGGTCCGGTGCCCGCTCCCTCATGGACGTACGATGGAACCAGAAGAGGAAACTGGACCTTCGTCAAGGCTCTGCATCTGGATTCAGGCCGGGCTGGGCCAACGCCCTCCACGCTTCTGGAGCTTTCAAGAGGGGCGGCCTCGAATACAGAATGGCTTCTCTATGCTGCGCTCGTGGCGACCACCAGAAAATGGCTGCCTGAGGTTATGGATACCCTCAAGTCTGTAGAGAAGAGGCTGATCGACCCTAGCAAGATTATCATATGGGACTCGGGTTGCAGTCGTCCGGAATCGTCGAAGTACTATGAACCGAAAACGCTTGCTGAGCGGATCGTCGAGGAGGATATAAGCGATCCGTGGCTGGTATACCAGGAGCATCAAGGTACTATCCCATTCTGCTGCTCATATACGCTCAAGGACCTCCTGATCTTCAGCGTACATGCAAACCTACTTGATGTCCATGCTTGCGCTCGCTTTGGTCTCACTTGGTTTCCTCCGACACCATGCCATCCCAACCGGCCCGAACCGCAAGGTAAGAAGCCGTGCATTTCCTAGGCAGATTCTTATTATGCTCATCGTAATCGTGCGTGCTTCAGTCGAGGGTTTCGAGCGTCTGTTCGAGGAATTGCTTTTGACCGCACTGGCCTTCCGGCCATGGTAATCTGTAATAGAGCCTGGGCGACTGTCAAGCATCAACTGTATCAGCAAGGCGTTTCAAAGTTTGCATCGGCATATCAAGCTCAATCTGGCTGCTGTGTACATGTATTCTCGAGCAGGTTGATCAATCACTACTCTGAGAGCGTTGCCGCGTTGGTGAGCTGGGAGCAATCACCAGTGTTGGTCTGTTGAGGCTCCGGATCAACTGTTCTACCAGCTGCGCGAGATGCTCGAGCGAGGTTGGCGACCTGATGTCTCTCGTTGGTTTGCATGCATTCTGCTCTATTTTCAGCGCCGGGATAAGTGCTGTCCCGCCAACATATCCTTCGTCGCTATGCTTGCGGCAGCAACGCTCGTCCAGGAATTGATCTTGCACTTGCGGGAAATACAAACCTATTTGACCAATAATGCGCACCTCGAGCTCGGACGGTGCTCGGGGTATTTTGAGTATTTTCCAAGGTCGTGATAAGACTGTATTCCGCATCGTGCTCGGCGTCTAGCTTGCTGAACCACCTTCCGATGAATATTTCAGACCGCTGATCATGCTGCGCAGACGCTCGGGATCCCACGACGGATATTTTTGGGCGATATCAGACGCATGGCGGCATCCTTCTACGTGCGCTCCCACGGCCCCGTCGTATGCGACGCATCCATCGCCAACTATACACCGCACCCCGAGCCTTCCTGCGCTGCTCGATCCTTATTCGGGCTTTCTCTACGCACCGGAACATGCGGGAACACTCATCTCGGCCTCAGCAACATGCAAAGCCATGCGTCTATGATTGTTATCGTCAAGGGGTGGGCTTCATGGTCGGTGTTCGTCCCCGCGTTGCTCCCTTCGCCCAGTCCTACAAGAAGGAACAGCTCCTGGCTGCGTTCCGCACGACATCGGTCATCGTCTCCAGGTCCTTGACACGGTCGCCGAAGGATACCCCGTACAGCCCGTCATGACCCTGGTCGTGTTCTCCCTCCTCGCCTCCTTCGCCGCGCTCGCGTGCGCCAACCCGGTAGCGCGGAACATGGTCGTGCACGAGGCCCGCGCATCCGCACCTTCTGGCTTTGTGGCGCAGGGTCCGGCGCCGGCCGACCAGGTGCTGAACCTCCGCATCGCGTTGAAGCAAGGAGACATCTCTGGGCTCGAGCAACGCCTCCTCGAGGTCAGCTCTCCCGAGAACGCGGACTTCCGCCAGTGGCTCTCGAAAGATGACGTATGTGCATGCGAACCGCGTTCGCTACTCCGATTCTTACCGGTTCACCTCTGCAGGTCGAGAGTTTCGTCAAGCCCTTGGACGAAACCTCTGCCGCCGTCGCTCAATGGTTGTCTGAGAATGGTGTTTCCCCCAAAGCCATTACGCCTTCCGGGGACTGGCTGCAGTTCAGTGTCCCGGTCAGCAAAGCAAACGAGATGCTCGAGGCAGACTTTTCCGTGTTCACGCATCAAGCCACCGGAAGTCAATCTATCCGCACGCTGGCGTATTCCATTCCAGCCAACCTGCAGGAACACGTGGAACTCATCCATCCTACCACTTCGTGAGTGCTAGACATCAACAACCAGTGTCACTCCGACTGATTTTTTTTCACTAGGTTCTCCAAGAAGCGCAGCGGACCGGTCATTTCCTTCCCAAACTCGCTGCCCAAGTCGCAGACCGATGCAATCATATCCGACGCAACCGTTCCCAACTCATGCAACACGTCGATCACTCCCGCGTGTTTGCAGGCATTGTACGGTATCCCTACAACTATAGTCACGGATACGGATAGTCAGATAGGCGTCACGGGCATGGTATGTGCATCCTATGGCTCGTTCTACACTATACCGAACGGGTGCTGTAGGACAACCAATTTGCGAACATGGCGGATCTGGCTACATTCCTAGGCACCTTCCGCCCCGACCTTCCCAAGACAACGACTTTCGCGCTGACGTGAGTAGCTTTTTGCTGCTTGTCATTCCTCGTCGCATTGATCCTTCATGTGCGTAGCTCCGTCGACAATGGCGTGAACACCCAGACGTTGAGCAAAGCCGGCGTTGAAGCCGTATGTTGCCCATCCGCGTGGAAACATAACCAAGTTACTGACGCACCGAATAGGACCTGGACATTCAGTACACCGTCGGTCTGGCTTCGGGCATTCCCACTACCTTTATCACAGTGGGAGAACACACCCAGGATGGAGACGACGAGGGCTTCCTGGACATCATCAATGCATTGCTGGCAGAGCAAGCTCCTCCGCAAGTGTTTACCACATCGTACGGTTTCGACACAGAAGCGGAATTGTCCAAGTCCTTGACTGTGTGCGTATCGTCAAAATAATTCTTGACGTTCATACTGACGCCTGGCGTCATGTAGAGCCATGTGCAATTCATACATGCAGTTAACGGCGCGCGGTGTGTCCATCTTGTTTGCTTCCGGTGCGCGATTGTCGTTGCTTCATCAAATTCTCTTCTTCAGTCTAACGTCGGCGTTTTCGGTAGGTGACGGTGGTGTTGCCGCCACTCCCGGAGAAAAGTGCAGCGCAACTTTCCTGGCTACATTCGTGCGTCTTGGTCACCGATCCGCATGTGATCGCATTCACTAAGATGCTCATGCATAGCCTACGTGTCCTTTGTACGTCTCCGTGCATCTTGACCATATGGCACTTCAGACGAGCTGATGTTCCGGTTCAGTGCGACCCTTGTCGGCGCCACCGAGAACGTGAACCCGGAGCGCGGAGCCGAGCTTTCCGCCGGAGGGTTCTCTAACTACTTCGCACAGCCCTCCTACCAGTCGACGGCGGTGGAGAGCTACCTGACCAAGCTCGGCTCCGAATTTTCCGGCAAGTTCAACCGTTCTGGACGTGCCTATCCCGACGTAGCGGCTCAGGGTCAAAGGTATGCGTTCGCGTGATTGTTATGATTTCCAGGACGCTTCTGAGTTGACCACGTACGATAGGGTCGAGATTGTTGTTTCAGGAAAGACCGGACTGGTTGCTGGTACGTCGTCTCGGTTCGGCTGAATCACCCCCTCCACATGCTGACACGCGCTTATTAGGCACTTCGTGCTCATCGCCTATCTTCGCGTCGGTCATCGCTCTTCTGAACGATGAGCTATTGAAAGCCGGAAAGCCGGTGCTTGGCTTCCTGAATCCGTGGGCCTACGCTAACCCGCAAGCGTTCAATGACATCACCACTGGTTCGTGACTTGCTCCTTCTCAGCGACTTATCAGTCTGATAACCCTTGTTATTGTATAGGAAATAACCCTGGTGAGTTTTCTGATTAGACTTAACCAAAAGGTACTGCTATGCTGACGCGCTTCGGACTCGCAGGCTGCGGGACCACCGGGTTCCCCGCGACGGCAGGTACGTGCTATGGCCGCTTTTCTGTTGGAATGCGGGGCTCACCGCTCGGTATCTGATCTTTAAGGTTGGGATCCGGTCACGGGCCTCGGTACGCCCAACTACGCGGCGATGCGGACAGCTGCTGGGCTGTAATATAGACGAATGCTGCCGCTGTTCTCCCGCACTAGCAGAGATGTCCATAAGTTGTGCAAAAGCCAAACAGAAGAAGACTGCGTGCTCTACTTGGCGCGCGCCCGTTGCGACAGAATACGTCAGCGTCACACTCCGCAGTTTTGGCTTGCTTCTACCACCGGTGACATGAAATCTTTGAAGTTCGCCCCACTCGTTGACCGAAGATATGTTACTTACATAGCAGCGCGGCTTTATGCTACGGACACGTGGCTCCGTATGTCGACGCGGGAGTGTCGGTTCCTGTGATCGGGGAATTCCAGCACACCGACTACTATTGCCGCCTTAGAAACTGTCCTGCAATTTTTGCAGTAGAACGCGTGCAATTCGTCGACCACGTTCCTCGGAAAACTCTCGGATGTGTACCGCGAGAGCGGGCTGCCATCCCGGGCATGCACGCGCCGCGTGACGTTATTCTTTCGAACGCTTTATTCGCGCTTCTCAATGCCTTCTCTGCAGCCATCGCTGATGGGTCCAATACTGTTTGCGGCGCCCGTCGATAACCAACCTGCTGGAATGGTCAAAGCCGTCGGCAGGATGTTCGCTCTCCATCTGACTGTTAGACGTTCGCCTTTCGCGATCGATCTCGACCCCGTACTGACCGCTTAGCCTTTTGCAGCCTCCAGCGGCCAACATCCGGTCCGCACGTAACGCCGATCTCTGCCAGCACCGTTCGAGAACCTCCATGCACCCGGCCGCGATGCATCATGCTATTGTCGGCACGTTGCTCATACATCACAGGTTACTGGTATCACCGAATTTGAGGCTCAATGTCTTCTGACATCGGTATACTCTTTTTTCGGGTTATCACAACGTCCCGTACACCCCGAACATGCCCATTTTGTACCACAGGTACGCAGGGTACGTGTCTATCCTTGTTATCGCTATCAAGACGTACGGAGCCTCGCAAGGGACTGCAGCTCTGGGCATCAGTACAAGAAGGGCGGCGCCACGAAAGACGAATTTCAGGCTTCACCGCTCGTGGTCATCCGTAGTTACCTGCTCGGCGCCTCAAGTGCACCTCGTCGCCCGCCATGTTATTGACCGCTGTATTCATCCTCACGACCTTTGGCACATTCGGTTGGGCGAACCCGATCGCGCGCAACATGGTCGTCCATGACAGTCGCGCATCGGCCCCTGCCGGCTATGTCGCTACCGAGCCTACGCCAGGAGATCAAGTGTTGAACCTGAGGATAGCACTCGCCCAGAGCAACGCTTCCGGGCTCGAGCAGCGCCTGCTCGAAGTCAGTGATCCGGCACATGCCGACTTCCGTCAGTGGCTCTCGAAGGAGGAGGTGCGTTACGCAGTATAGTTATTTCCGGCAACTGTCTCACATTGTTTTGCCCTTAGGTAGAGAATTTTGTCAGGCCGACGCAGGACACAGTCACTGCGGTCTCGCAATGGCTTTCCGATAATGGAATCTCCTCCAGGATCCTCACGCCTGCGGGTGACTGGATTGAGTTTAGCGTCCCCGCGAGCAAGGCGAACGACATGCTCGATACGCAGTTCACCACGTACACACATGCGAATAGCGGACAACCCTCCGTTCGCACCCTGTCTTATTCTATCCCGGTCGCGCTAAAGGAACATATTCAACTCATCCATCCAACGACGTCGTAAGTCATATGAGCTACCGTCGTGGCCTCACCTACTTAATTCTGCCGTTTTGCCAGGTTCACTGCCGTCACGCGTGGTTCTCCGGTCGCCTCCTTTTCGCGGCCTGTAACTAGCAAGGCACAAACCGACGCGGTCATCGCGGATGCGACTACCGTACCTGCTAGCTGCAACTCGTCGATGACTCCCGCGTGTCTTCAGGCGCTGTACAGTATACCGTCCAGCGTGAAGGTCAACAAGCAGAACAAGCTCGGTGTTGCTGGAATGGTAGGCCTTCCCAGTCATTATTCTGTAATTCGGAGCCCAAGGCTCATTACATATTCTTAGGGTGACGAATTTGCGAACCAGGCAGATTTGACCGCATTCTTGAAGCAGTTCCGTCCCGATATGAACCCCAACACTAACTTCTCGACGACCTCTGTCGATGGCGGCACGAACGACCAGACCGCATACGAGGCGGGGTATGAGGCGGTCAGTGCAACTAAAACATTACAGAATGCTGTAGACTGACGAGCATTGGCCATAGAATTTGGATATTCAAGTCGGTTCCTGCATACATATAAACTTTGACGATGGGCTCAGCACTATTTATTACACAGTACACAGTCGGAATTGCGACTGATATTCCTACAGTATTCGTCTCGGTCGGCACCAACTACAAGGATGGCCAAGATCAAGGCTTTCTGGACGTGATCAATGCGTTGATTGCTGAGAGCGCTCCACCGCAAGTGCGTAGCACTTCCTACTGCTCTTCGAGATTGGGTTCTAATCGCATGTTTAAAGGTCTTCACAACATCTTACGGTTTCGAGAAGGAATCAGATCTGTCACAGAGCCTCACCACGTGAATATTTGCATTCGTCAATGGCGAACGTCCACACTGATCACCATTCCTCACAGGACAATGTGCAACTCGTACATGCAGCTTTCTGCTCGCGGAGTGTCCATCTTGTTCGCATCCGGTATGGAATCTGGAATCCAATTACCCAAAACTGTGATACTAATTCCATGCAGGTGATGGTGGAGTAGCCGCTTCTCCCGGCGAAGCGTGCACGGCAAAGAGCTTCCTGCCGACATTCCCGACCTGCCCCTAGTTTGTGCTCTATTATTACTGTCCAGCAAAAGGCTGACTCTGGCCCGTAGCGCCACGCTGGTCGGTGCCACGGAGAACGTCAACCCGGAGCGGGGCGCCGAGCTGTCTGCTGGCGGGTTCTCGAACTACTTCTCACAACCAAGCTGGCAGGCATCCGCCGTGTCGAGCTATTTGACCAAGCTCGGGTCTGAGTACTCTGGCGCCTACAACAAAGCTGGACGGGCATACCCCGACGTTAGCGCGCAGGGCAACAGGTGAGTAGTCTCGACATTCGTGCTCTGATGAACACTCAGCGATGGAACAGGGTTGAGATGATTTGGAACGACTTCAACTTACAGATGGCTGGTACGCATGTCCCCCTCAGAAGAATATACCGTTACCTGACGCGCCACCTCATAGGCACATCTTGCTCCTCGCCAATTTTCTCGTCAGTCATCGCGATGCTGAACAATGAACTGTTGAATGCCGGCAAACCCGTCCTCGGTTTCTTGAATCCGTGGTTGTATGCTAATCCTCAGGCTTTCAACGACATCACCACCGGTTCGTTCCTAGCTATTTCGTTATCGCTGCTAGCCAGGCTGACACGCTTCGTGCAACAGGCAACAACCCAGGTTTGTTCTGCTGCGCAGTGAAGTGTGTACCTGAGATACTGACAAGCATTCCACCAGGTTGTGATACAAATGGTTTCCCAGCTGCCGCAGGTGGGCAGTTACTGCTCGTATCCGTTTACTGAGCTTACTTGACAGCGTGCTTTACAGGATGGGATCCAGTTACCGGCCTAGGCACACCCAACTATGCCGCCATGCGCACGGCAGCGGGACTCTCATAATATGACGAAATAGTTTGGTCACGAAATGCACGCCTACAACGCAGACTGCATGACCGGTAACGCAGCGCAAAAGCATTGTTGGAAAAGTAAATTGTAATGAGGCGTGCGTTGATAATGGAGAGTACGCAGCAAAGTCGATGAGATCACAAGTACCGGTACTTGTATTCGAGCAAAGGTAGATGACAAGATTGAATGAGTGAAGTAAGGTTTGTAGTAGGTCCGCGGGGTGATCAGAATCTAAGAGGGCCGCCGGTGGTAACGTCCGTAAGCAGCTATTTCCGCCCAGGGCAGCATCCTGACTGGGGGCATGAGCAAATTTGCGGTAATCTGTCCTCGAGGATCGCGGTGATCAACCACGGTCCGGGGTGGGGATAGCCGGAACTGAGCGATAGGTCCCTGCGCCTGAAGCCACTCGTTCACTGTTCTTGCATCCTCTTCGGGCCCTGAGTAATATACCGGAAGCTCCACCGTTGTTGTACTGGTGCCTGCTGCAGCGCAGACTTGGGAAGTCCGTACATTCGGAGGTGCTTGGTCATGGAGAGGATCGGAGTAAATGACGGACCTGGGTTGGGATAACCGGAACGGAGCGATAGGTCCCTGCGCCCAAAGCCACTCGTATACTGTTCTTGCAGCCTCTTCAGACCGTGCGTGATTTACCGGGCCCACCGCCGTTGTTGTACTGTTGCCTGCTGAAGCGCAAGTCCGTACATTAGGAGGTGCTTGGTCCGGGGGAGTGATCTGATTGCGTATAACTTGAATCACATTGGTGGGCACTCGAAATTCGAAGGCCAGGTGCTTGCAAAGCTCGCGCTCAAATTGGTTTATGTGTCGTAGATGGACATCCTTGTCCTTCACAAGCTGGTACCAGCCAGAGTTCCATAAAGCGTCGTCCTGCAGAAACTTCATAGAAATAATGAACGCGGCGAGAAATAGGTGAATGCCACTTGTGGGCTCGGCTTTCATCCTGGGGTGCGTATAACGCAATCTCATCATGAGGACAATTGCGTGCGCCACTGAGTCTAGAGGCGTATGGGAACCACGCAGAAGACGCTCGATGAAGGGTGGCAAATCGTGGCAACTACATCCAGGAAGGCTCTCGTGGTATGGACTTGGTGAATGAACTATGCTGCAGATGATATGGTAAGCTCGTGCATAGTCGACAGGAGGGGTTATTTCTGCTTTGGATGTCTGTGTTTCTTGCGTTACTAAGATTGCTTGAGCCGACGAAACGAAGAACTCACCGTCTTCATGTGTAGCGCCAGTTGATGAGATGGACCAGCCATATCGCGGTCATTCGCTATAATGCGCTGAGATATCCTGTTCAAACTCCCCCCGGCGTTAGAAGAACGGTCGTGGTCAGCATGATATTTGTGCTGCTTTGATGCGAATGCCGCTCTTTTATAGCACCAGGTTCATCACAGTGGCCACGATATAGGTGGGCTGGGATTCAATTATCCGGTGGGACAACGGTGGCCGGGATGGCAAAGTGCCACATGCATGGCAGGACCGGAGATGAGCTTCACGATGAGTCGAATTCGCTATCGCGTCCTAGTCCTAGTACTCTATCCACGATTTCTTCAGCGTGTATATGATTCGTAAGTACAGGAAATGCAGAGACTGAGGTGATGAGACGATGGGGCGAATCGGAAGGTGCAAGGCGTCGTCCGTATAGTATGACGTCATGGTACAATTGCGCTCTGAAGATTGCCTCTCAATGTATGCAGAAGAACGCACGTAATACGGCATCACAATGGGCATCAACACGCTAAATGCTATACAGCAAGTGGAAGATGATGCACGTGGAGAACGATACGACTATACGAAGCTATTATATCTGCAGGCTCGGCAGCAGCCGCTCGGCGTTAAGGTAACGTCCCGCTCTCGAGCTACGTTACCTTCTTTGATTCCCGTTCCGCTTTGGCTAGGGCCCGCTTGCGGATCGATTTGTGTAGGGAATGCGTGTAGCTGATGAAGACCTATCAACCACGTTAAGCAAGTCTGCGCACAGGAGATTGGGCGAACAAAATGTAACATACCGAGTTGCTGAACACGTTTGAGACTGCGTGGACGAGATAGTCCGCAATCGCGTGTGAAGGGTACGCGGTGAGCGTCGCAGGTCGATCTACAGGTTGCTGGGTCCACCACCAAGTCACATGAGGCAATGCGATGGCTCACCAGTACCCGCTGCACCACAGCTTTGACCGATGTGCCGCAGGACAGAGCGAACATATGAGTCCGGTATGGGCACCGTGAAGGAGGATCTCTTGATTTTGGACATGTTCGATACCTGCAGCATGAACGTATGAGCTCGCATGTACTCAAGGGCAGAACCATTGGACATACCACAAAGTACGTGTTCACGCACTGGACGATTACCCCGGATCCCTTGAGCTCCTCCTGCAACGCATCAGAGAATGTAGAGACAAAGGCCTTCGAAGCACTGCAAAGCACCGATGAGCATATAACGTGCTCGCGGGGATCAGGGCCCGTACGAGTAGGGGGCAAGCATTGGGCTTGGAATGGCACCGGAGAAGGACCCGATCGACAGGATCAGTCCGCGCTTTCTGGTAATATTTATCAGTCCGTATCCAATGTGGTTGCATCAGGCTACCAACCGCTGGACCATCCCGCCGACGACGGCGCGTGTGGCTCGAAGCGTGCCAAGGCAATTGACCTGATAATCGTTGTCTGAGCATACAGCCGCGAAATCCGACGAAGACCCTCACATTCACTATGTTCGTCAGGTCCTCGTTGGGTACTTCGGCAAAGTAGGTCGGCATCGGGTGCGAAAGACCTGCATTGTTGACTAACCACCATAATCGGGTCATCACTCCGTAGCATTCCTCATAAGGTTCAGGGACTCACCCAGGACGCCTACGTCAAGAGGCGACACTTTCTCCTTCAGAGTTTCCCAGCCAGGATGGTCGGGATTGGCAAAATCTAGCACGACGGATATAGTTTGCACTTGGTGTGACGCCTCTTCGGGGGCGAAGATAGAGTCAGCACCAAGATACATCTTGATTTATCGCAAGGCGGACGGACCGAGCTCTTTTGCCAATTCCTGCAGCTTGACCTCGTTACGAGCACATAAAACAATGTTGAAGCCAGCCTTGGCCAATTGTTGCGCAAATGAAAGGCCAATGCCTGATGTGGGGCCCGTAACAACTGGGTGCCGCATGAGCGCGCGGATGAGCCGTAACACAGAGCTTAACGTACCTGCCCACGACCCTTTCCCAGCCCCAAACTTTTTTAACTGCGAGTCGGCGTTATGAGAGCGAGCAGCATGATAGCGAGAGACTCGATAAATACGCTAGCTCCTGGTAGGACAAATGTTTGCACCAAGACTTGCGAGGCCTTGAACACGAATTGGAGAAAAGAGACGGCTCCGAAGGCGAGGAGCGTAGCCGAAAGAACGGGGTGCGAAGCAACTAGAGTACGCTTATGATTAGTATACGTTCCATTCGTCGCAGATACGACATACCGCTCCCAATCACTGCGTCCATGGTGGTTACACCGCTGGAATTGGGCGGCGCCAGCAGCACGTCAAGCAAACGCAGTCGTTTCGTCCCAAACGTCTCCGAAACGGGCAGGATGATTGGGGCAAAACACGGATCACGCGACCTCATTTACGCGTCTCGGATTTGCGGGAGGGAAAGTTCGTAGACGCGCTGCGTCACACCGTGACGTGGTTGTTTTGCGACGGCGATGACGGTGAGCGCGCACGCCGGTAAGTGCGCTTGCACAGTTTCGACATATTTGCTGCTCATATATCGGAACAGTGCGCGTTCTATACACTGTCAATGGATCCACGCAATATATTTTGGCCAAAACCCGGGCTCAAGTCACACTCCGACCCAACGCAATGTTCGCGGCGGTGTCTTTGCGCACCTGCTTGGACGCGATATGTCGATCCTCGTACGTGTCAGCAAGTTCAAATGGATACAACGCGTCTGATTGAGGCTGGTTCAATAGTCCGGAGCTCGTGCAGGATAGAGATTACTCAGTGTATCACATCGACCCAACCGAAGCACATCCGCCTCAAGCTAGTGCAAGTACACCAGCTGCCGGAGTAGCCGTCGGGATGGGCCTCATGAGTCACTTGATGGCACGGAACGACCTGGAGAGCGTTGACGGCGTTCTTATCGAAAGCGCAACGGGGGAAAAGCCAGTTGAAATCGTCTTTGCCCTTCGAGAGGTGAGCAAATTCATAGGAACGCTTCTATGGGATGTAACCGGTCTCATCTACGAATCATGTCAAAGGCTCCCGGTGTCCGACGCATCAGTCCCATGCCACCTTGGAGCATCCCTGTTCCGGAGTCAACATCAAGTGCCGGAGTGCAAAGCAACTCAAGGTCACAAACGCCACTTGACACTAAACCCGCTCTTGAACGAACCCAGTCTCACCCTGTTGCCCAAACCTCTACCTTGCAACCATCACTATCGGCATCGGAGGCGACACACACGAATCACCAGGCCCCTGCATTCCCCGCAGGAACCCATGCAAATCCAAATCAATTGGTCGTGATCGGAAGCCAACACCAGCCCACCCTAGAAGGGCAACGCGAAGTACGATATGCCAAGGCCGCTGACTTCGAGCCCCATATTGTTGCCACCTATGTTAACCCCCCTGCGGTGCGCATTGTTTCTTTGATCGGATGGTCACGGTACCTGAGTATACGTCGCATATGCTTAGGATGGGCAATATCGGAAACGGCTGGCAAAACCCAGAGGGCAAGTCGCGACTAAGCGCAAGAAGGAAGGAGAAGTGAAGCAGGAAACCACGGTACAATTCGCGTATTGCCGAATTCCCATTTCATGACTCATGCGAGTGTCGGTTTTCTCAGCGCAAGTCGACCACTTCAAGGTCGTATTCTTCACCCACTCTCCCGTTCTCATCTCGTGCTTCGGCACAGGCGACTCTGAATGCCGCTCTCTCTTCGAACCTTCAGACTCCAGGAGCTGGACCATCCAACCTGTCAGCGCAATCCCCCCTAACGAAGGATGGAATATACTCTTCTGCCGGCGATTCGTCGTTGGCAACGTTGCTTGCGTCGTCGTGTGCGGACAAGAATGCGATGTTATTGAGCGTTCTGTCTGCCATCGACTGGAGCTCAAACCCGACGGACAAGGCGGCTAGTCCTGCCGACACGGCGCCAATAACTAAATCAGAACCTGAAGGTCTGCTTCAACCAGAAAGTGATTATTGCAGCTGCTAACCTCCGGCCTCGGTTAGATTCGAAGCCTGTCCCTGCGAATGGGGCTCCAGCGACCACTCAACCAAGCTGCCCGTCTAATCCTGCCCTGGTCTCCGCATTGCATCAACTCCTTAGATTAGCTTCGACCACGAACAACAAGAATTCGTTGACGTCTAGCATAGAAGCGCAGGTCGCTCAAGCTTACAATAAGTACCCGCAACCCGAATTCAAGCCCGCACCGGTAGATCCGAGACCGAAGAAACGGAGACGAGCAGAAGGGGGTCAGGCCCCGTCCAGTGATGGCTGGGTATGGTCCAAGTCCGGACCCGGCTCGGAACAGACAGGACCCAACGCCATACAGGTCGTTAAGAAAGAAGAGGAAGATTCGGACGATGACATTGTCCTGCTCGACAAGGCGAACGTGAACAGATCCGCCTTCCGCAACCGGGCAGAGAAAGAGAGCGAGTTTCTCTACAAACAAACTGTCGCGCTTGGTGGATCCTCGGCGGCGAGTCCCCCTGTTCGTCGCACGTCTACATCTCGGACGCCTACGAAGGGGAAAGGGAAAGGCAGGGAGAACGCGGATCCCAGTAGTTCGCCGGCGCCGCGACGTTCGCACGACATTGCAGGAATAGGGTTGGGTGGCCTAGGTTCCGAGGGCCGAAATGTGTTGCGGAAGCGAACGCTTAGCGATTTCATGGAGGAGAAGGAGCGAGATCGTGCCAGGAAGCGGGTAGCTGGTGAACCGCGGTCGTCGTCGTCATTGTCTCAGCTTGGAACGGCTGCGCCACGTCTGCCTATACCACGCTCGGATCCAGTAGGTCCAGTTGCTTCGCCATCCCCTGCGCACGCAGCGGCATTCGCTCCGGAGCATAGAAATGTCAGCGCAAGTCCGGCAACGACTGGACATGCACAAAGTTCGCCTACTCGGCGTAGCTCGTATTATCGGACCTTCTCAGAGAAGGCCCTTGACCCGCAATACCTCGCTAAACATCAGGTCCCTGATACTGCCAACTCCGGCGACAACTCGCGCAGCGGGAGCATGGCCCCTCCTGCCGTGCCGCTCAAGAAGGTAAGGGTACTCAACTGCGCAATCACCGGCGCCTTGATCTCTGACGTTTCGACCCAGAAGTATGTAGTACCCGAGTGGGCGAGGACGAACACGGCGATGCAACCTCGGGTAGCCAAAACCTCGGGCCAAACAGCAGAATCGGAGCCGACCAAAGTCAAGAAGAAGCCGAAGGAGCCAGCTGCAAGACCGGCCTCAAAGATCGCGGACAAGGCGATCCGTAGACCTCCGATACCGCATACATGCGGCTCAGAGTCGAGGATCCAGCCTGCTCTCGAGATAGCCTCTCCCGCACGGGGGACCTCGCTGCCCGTCATCGCGTCGGACTTCACAGCTAGCATCTTCGGATCTTCGTCACCTCCTGCGCAATCCTCGCCACCTAACTTCGCTCGATCAAGCTCGGAAGCACCTAGTACGCCTCCTCGGCGTACCCGAACGCTTTCCGGTACACTGCAGACACCCCGCACTCCGCGCTCGACGTCCATGGCTGACTGCGTCTCATCCTTGTTCACGCCGAGCCCCCGTACGCAACGGTCGGGAGGCTCCGCATCTTCCCTGCCGAAGCTCCCCAGTTTGTTCGAGTCACCCGCGTTCAAGCTCGCTCGTCGCGACCATCAGGGCGGCGGTGGGCAGGACGATAGCTTCGAAATTGACTTGGACGAGGCGCTCGTCAACGAGCTCGAGAGCGAACTGATGGCAGATGAGCCACCGGACTCGCTGCCGGTCGCGAGCAGCGATCTCCCAGGCACGAGCGACGACGACAGCCTGTCAAACCCGAGGCACTGGTCGTACGATCTACCGCCGTCGTCACCGCTTCCTCCGTCCAGTCCCGTATGCACTCCGCAAGAACTGCCTGTGGCGAGTCCCGACCCGGTATTGAGCGCGTCGCCTCCCGACAGCACAGCGACCTCTCCTCGTCCAGACGCGGAGCCTGCAACCATCATGTCCATCATCGCACAGCACACTCAGACGGACGATTCGGACATGACGCTCGGCGAGGTCAATGGTGTCTCCACTAGGGACATATTTGCCAGTTTGGGCACGAAAGAAGCTGGGATGACGGATATCTTGGTGGGAGACGAGCAACTCAATCTCGACCCATCGTTCCTCAACCAGATGTCGTCTATCTTCGACGAATTCGACCAGACGGCCTCCCAGGCAACGCTTGGGTTTGAACATCTCGACGGTTCGGTCAACCTGGATTTCAACGAGTTCTGGAATTCCGTGCAGCCACTGCTTACAGAGAGCGAGGCAAAGGCCGCTCAGCAGATCACCGCTGACGACAGTGGTACAGCATCCCAGCCCATGTCGGACTGGGACGTCATCGGTACCGGTGTCGAAACCAAGCTGGCGGACGATCTGCAATCGCTGTTGGGCGGTTGTCTTGTCTAAAGATGTGCATATCTCCAAGATGGGTCCTGCAGTCAGTGCTTCTGCTCCGCGATCGACTGCGTCATTAACCAGAATACAGAGCAGCAAGAATTCTTTTGTACCTTTCATCGTCATCGTCAGCTCTGTCTCCATGCTTTCGTCCCCTTGCATCAACTACTACACATGGATGGTTTCCACAGTACCCAGTACAAAGCCCCGGACTGCGGTTCACTGTTGTCTCAACATCACGTATACTCACATGTATTATCATCAATAGCGCTCGGATCTTGCATTTTAACCATGCTCATGTGTTGCCGGACCACGGTTTATGTCTATTGTTATGCGCTGTACGTGGTTGTACATCTATAGGAGAACTCCTGTTTCGCATTCCCTCTCGTAATCACCTTCCATCCGACTCTGAGCCGCTCCCGTCCGCGCTCGACGTCTCTGGAGTACGGGTGCCGTTTGCGGCAGCGGGGGCGCGCCCGGGCAACGGCTTTTCCTTCATGAACCAGCTGCTCACGAACGCGCACGCGGCCATACCGACGGCGAACCAGAACGCAACCTGCGCCGCGTCCTCGTACGAGCTGCGCACGGCGGCGCGCGTCGCGTCCGGTAACGTGTCGACGTACGTGAGCGACTCGCGCACGCGGGCGACGATCTCGTCCGCGGCGTGCCCGGGCAGGCGTTGACGGAGGCGCTGACGGAGTGCGTCCTGGACGAGCGAACCTCCAACGGAGACGCCGACGACGGAGCCGAGCGAGCGGAAGAGGTAGGACACGGCGGTCGCGATCGCCTGGTCGGCCGCGCCGGCATTGGCGATGAGCGCGATGAGGGTCGAGGTGATGCCGCCGCCGTTGCCGAGGGACAGGCACACGAAGCCGGTGAGGAGGAGCGCGTAGCTCCAGCCGAGCGCGCCTGTCCAGAGCGCGATGATGAGCGCGCCGAGGGTGAGGCTTGCGTACTCGACGATAGTGAGCGCGTAGAAGCGACCGGTCTTCTGCATGATGATGCCCGCGGAGAGCGAGCCGGTGACTCCTGCGAGGACGCCGGGGAGGAGGGTGAGCCCTGCACGGGTAGGCGTGAAAGCGCGCGCGGCCTGAAGATAGAGCGGCGCGGTAAAGGTGGCCGCCATGGCAGCGGCCATGCCGAAGAAGTTGCAGAGGTAGGCGGCGAGGAGGTGCGGCGCACCAACGATGCGGGATGGCGCGAGGGGCTCTTTGGCAAGGCGAGGGTTCGTCTCTACAAACACGAGGAGGGCGAATAGAAGAATCGAGAGGAGGAGAGGGACTAGGGTGGAGGGCACGGCCCAGGACACGTTGCCGCCGTTGTCGAGCGCGAGGAGGAGGGAGGAGACCGCAAAAACGAGCAGGGCCGAGCCAAGGAAGTCAATGCGGCGGAGCTTGGTAAAGAAGTCAGCGTGGGAGGGCGAGGGGAGGTGCAGGAGGAGCGAAACAGAGGTGAAGGCGAGGAGGGTGGCAGGGAACTGCAGGATGAACGCCCAGCGCCAGCCGATGGTGTCCGAGAGGACGCCGCCGAGGGGTGCACCAGTGGCGCCGCCGGAAGCCCAGATGATGTTGATGATTCCCTGCCACGTTCCGCGATTCCGGAGGGGAACGATGTCGCTCATGATGATGGACACGACAGTGGACATCCCGCCGCCACCTACGCCGGCAAACGCGCGGGCAAGGATGAGCTCGGGCATCGAGCGTGCGAGGCCGCACCAGAGGCAACCGAGACCGAAGATGGTGTACGCGAAGAGGAGGCACGGTTTGCGACCAAAAATGTCGGCCAGTTTGCCATACAGAGGCTGGAAGCTGGTCATGGTGAGCATGTAGGCGCTTGCTATCCAGCTCGTGTTTTGGAGCTGGTTGAGCTCGGAGCCGATGGACGCGTAGCAGGATGCGACGATCGTGCCGTCCATCGAGACGAGGAAGACTCCTATGGATAGTGGGAGCACCTATTGCACGGTCAACCATACAGCCAAAATGTAGGAAGGAGCGGAGACGTACGATAGCGAACAACGCGGCACCGGTGGGTGCATCTTTCACAACCTCATCCCCGTTTTCTTCGGCGTCCCGGCCTTCTGCACGCGCAGCGGGTGCCTCCGTCTCGTACGCGACCACCTCGGGGTCGGTCGGCTGCGGCTCGAGCGCGTCGGCCTGGAGGAGCGGTGTGGTCTCCGACACGCGTACTTTGACTTTCGGTTCGGGCGGGGCCATGACTGACTCGGCCTACTCTCTCCTGGCTATGGGAGTGCTGAGAGAGAACGTTCGCCGGCTGGGGGCTCTCATTGCGAATCCAGGCCGATAAGCGTCCGTGGTGGCGTCAGCGGAGGAAGGCATGGGAAAATTCTTGCAGCACAACGAATGGGTCGACTATCAGAGCACTCCATGCAAGCCTCGTAATACAGTCGCGGCGGCGATTCAAGTGTACATACCATGGCATACGCATTCAGATTCAGTTGACCATAGTACTCGCAGAAGTAGTGCTGATCTGGGCGGGCATCGGTGAATCCGCTCTCATTTCACTAGCAGTTGTCACACAAGATCGTAATATGCTGCCCATGGATCGTCGTCGGCAGTCTTCGCACTCAGCTCCACCACACCGCGGATCTTCTCTGCGTATTCGTCCCCGATGAGGTGCTGAAGAAACGCATTTGCCATGTCGGCGCCTGCGGGCACAACACTCGCTCCGTCAATGATAATTTGCGATGCACTCGCCGACAGCTCTCACCAGCGGTCACTCCGGAGCTTGTCCAGACATTCCCATCGACAACCCATCGTGCCTTTGGCACCCAAACGATTGGTAAATCCTTGGTCGCTTCCTACCATCACCACATTTTGACCTGCCGACCTTGAAGGCGTCCGATGGTTCACGCACCTTGGCAGAGTTGAATGCCCTTTTGTTAGTCGTCGCTTTCCTACCGTCCAGAATGCCCGCGCCGGCTAGAACCCATGAACCAGTGCAAACACTAAGGATATATCGTGCACCAGGAGCTTGTGCCCTGATGAACTCCGTAAGAGAGCGCGGGACTCCCTCAGGTCGAGCGCCTGGACCTAACATCACTCATCATTAATCTCGCATAGACTCGCGTATGAGTAGGGGCGGTCGTACCGCCAGGAACTAGCAAAATATCAAACTGCTCTTTGCTTGCAAGGACTTCGTCGTACGTCCTCTGGGGGAGAACAGAAGGACCGGAGATGGGTTCCACCGGATCGCGGGTGTGCCCCAAGTACTCAATGTCGAAGGCGTACTTCGGTGGTTCTGTGGACAGAGGCGCACTGATGGGATTGTCCAGTCGCTTGCTCGAGATGAAGCCGAAGAGCTCGATCGGGCCCTGGTAGTCGAGTGTAGTGACTGCGGGGAAGAGGCACACCGCGAAGCGCAGGCGTTCGGGGAGGGCGGGGCTTGACATCGCTGTAGATCAATCTGGTCTTCACGGTTAATCGCTAACACTGGGTCCAGCACTGGTGCGTGCGACACAGAGCAATGCTTGCATGACTCGTCGGGTTCCGCGATTCAATCCAAAGCTAGTCTGCGATCCGATTGACATGGTCGAGTAAGGCGACAAGCTGACGATATGATTGCATGATTGCAATGCTCATGCAAGTTGGTAAGATACTCGGACGCAGAGCATCGGAATGCGTGCAGCCGCTATGTTCAAATGATGGCCACCCCATGACCATGACCATGAAGGGACCAAGAGGTTGCTCGGTCCGAGGAAGTCCGAGGGCCGACGCAAAACACGTGCCTCGCAGATCATTGATCTCCACGTGATTGCTACGCGTTTGTGACTTCCGACCGGGACGGACGAGGTCGAGCGAGTCTCGAGAGCTGCGAGGCTAACAGACTTAAACATACATCGCTGCTTGCTACCACCATACCGGCCAAGAAGAAAATTCCACGGTGCTACGTTGACTACTTGACCCATAGGACACTCAGTCATCGTACAGCTTGCTGTAATTGGGACCCGGGGCTCACCACTGTGCACTATGCCCCGCACCGCTCGAATACACTTCGTATCGTTGAAATCTTCGCTTGTGAACCTGCCCATAGCTGTCTATGGTCCGCTAGTTGAAAGAGGCGTGGTAAGTCTTTCATTGTTTATCAGCCCCGACCCCTTTACATGGTTTGTCGTGTCCGGACAATGAAACTATACACGTTCATGAGCATTGGTCTTACACCCTTATTGCCTATTGCTAGCTACGAACTATGATCTGATATGAGTTGTGCATTTCCAGCGTCCGCAGTCTTTGGTCGTCCATCTCTCTTCCGTCTCGCCGAGAAGTAATGGGACCTTCGACAAGAACGCTAAACCAGTCGAAGCGTATGTCGGGTGGACAGGATTGGCATCTTCCTCCTCACTCTCGCGCTTCGCCGAGGGCTCTGCTTCGTGCGTGCATATTGGTCTTCTATAGATTTTCTGACCTTAATATTATGTCCTTAGTACCTCACGAGAGGCGGTGCAAGAGACGGTTGAGATTGATCCTCAGTTTGCACAAGGATTGGGACTTACTGCTGGCAAAATCGTGAGTGGAAGATATGAAGTCTTGCTTCCTTGGCTACCTTAACTCCATATGGTGACAATACGTTCTCCTTCCATAGGTGAACCTCTCTCTGTTATACGACCTGGGCACAGCACAGAGCGTTGGAACAGAACCTGTTAGTGCCGATGACTGGGAGATCATCGTAAGTGGTGTAGAGCTCTCTTTCTGTGACTACTGGCTGATGCGCCATCTATTAGGAACTGCATGGATCTCACATCGAATCAACACTACTTCAACAAGCTCGGGTAGCGGCCGTTGGGCAAGAGCTAGACGTATGGGTGCTGGGACGCACTCGAGTTCGGCTCCGAGTTGGTAAGCAGAGCTTCTTCCTACAGCTATCGAATCTCGCTGAACATGTAATCATTCCCCGCCATCGTCAGTCTCTCTTGCGCCGGAACCAAAGACGCACAAGGCACTCCTGTTGACGGCGGATACAGAGGTATCCGTTGCGCCCAAGATACGATCAAAGCCGCAAGCTGGTCAGGCCAGAACTAGGCCATCTCGAGAGATATCGCAGGCGAACGGGTCCACCTCAAGTGCACCCACTGAGAAGGAGGAACGACGTACGATCAGTGGCATCCAGCGGGTTCTTCCTCCCCGACTTGCGAGGGGCAAATCAATTTCGATACCCGAGGGCTATGAAGGCCGCGGTTTTCTATACGTGTCCGCCCGGACATACGAGGTGCTCACTGGCTGTAGTCCTCTCTCTGCACGTTCGAAGGATGGAGGGAGGGCTTTGCGCGTGTTTTATTCTGCCAAAGTCACTATTCTCAGTTCGCCGTCAGAACCGATGACATCGGCGTCAGCCCCCTCCGCCACACCCCCGGCAACCAAAGTGCTGAATCCCGTAGGCTCGAAGGGAAAGGCAGATGGCTCTTCTTCTGATCACGAGACAAATGGCCCTCAAGACTTGCTGTTGGGATGGGCCGAAGGCGTGCCCGAGAAACATGTCCTGCTTGAAGACACCACACTAGATGTGCAAGAATGGGACCTCGTTCGGTGAATTGTTGTGCAGACCTACGTTAGTTATAACTTGGCTGACACACGGTCAGGGTTACTGTAGATCGTGCAAAATTAACGGTCATACCGATCTTTACGGCTAACGAAGATGATTCAAATGCTGACAAACGGTAGGTTATTGGAAAGAATGTCATAGCGAAACTTGGCCTGACTTTGTGTATTAGCGAAGCAGACGCTTCACCTGTGACTCTCGCAGGAGTCAAGGACATACTTATAAAAGGTGCTGATTTCTGTCGCACGAAGTTTGCGGTGCATGGAATGGACAGTGTAGTTTTTGGCGGTGAGGGTCTCGTCGGTACTTGATTGCCCCGACTTCTTGATAACAATCACTAGTTCCTGGTTTATTGATCACCGGAAAATCGGGTTCCGGAAAGACATCAATTGCACAAGCTATTGCCCGGTCGTTGCAAGATCAATACGCATGTATGTGACCGCATGAACGATGACGCACCCTACGTTGAAGATATCCCCGCACAGATCATCATTATGTCGATGCATCGCGCCACGCAGAAAAACCTGTAGGCGCGCTGCAGAAGCTATTCAAGTATTGGCATGACAAGGCTCTATGGCATCGACCTTCGGTCCTTGTCCTCGATAACATCGACAAACTTTTGAGTGCAGAGCTCGAGGTAAGTTCTGACGGTGCTCACCAGAGCTTCGGCTGACACCTTGCGTTTCCTCAGCATACGGACTCGTTCAGGGACCGTCATGTTGCAGAGTTGTTCTTGTCCGAATTCGGTTCCGCTGCACGCCCACATTCGATCAACAACCGAGGCATCGTTCTAATCGCCACCGCCGAGTCATCCGTTGCTCTTCATCCAGTTTTGGGCACCGCGCACCTTTTTGGCGAGACCATCAATCTCAAACCACCGAACAAGGAAGCAAGGAGAGATGTAGGTGACCTCGAACTCTCTCTGTATCTTGTCATCCGGCTCATCCACCACTCGTAGATACTCGCCAATGTCGTGCAACGCCGAATGTCTTCGGCGCACAACCTTTCCGAAGAACCCTCCACCCCGTTGAATTACACTGCCCTTGCGACGCAGACCGAAGGTTACTCCGCCATTGATCTGCACGATCTCGTGGCCAGGGCCGTGCACCAAGCCACTATCAGGTCTCAGGGCGACGAGGACTCAGATGGCGCGCTCATTTGTTTGGGAATGGACGATTTCGCATCGGCTCAGGTTGATTTTGTCCCCTTGTCTCTGCGAGACGTTAAGCTGCAGAAGTCGGAGGTAGCGTGGTCTGACATCGGAGGTAAGTTGCTATTCCAGGCGGGCCGTCTGCATAGTCTCATCATCGTTAAGGTCTCCACGCGCCGAAGCGTATTTTACGGGAAACACTTGAATGGCCAACTCGATACGGACCGATATTCGCGCAGTCGCCACTTCGATTACGCTCGGGGTAGGCCTTCCTCCGACACTTCTGACTATGAAACTGATTAATTCATAGTATACTGCTCTACGGCTTTCCGGGATGCGGCAAGACTCTACTGGCATCCGCTGTAGCAAGAGAGTGTGGTCTTAACTTCATCAGTGTGAAAGGTCCCGAGATTCTGAACAAGTACATTGGCGCGAGCGAGCAATCTGTATGAGACCGTCAAGCGCTCGTCCTCTTTTCTTACTGAATTATGCTTCCAGGTGCGCGATTTGTTCGAACGCGCGAGTGCAGCAAAACCATGCGTTCTGTTCTTCGACGAGTTTGAGTCGATCGCACCAAAACGGTATGTATTAGCATCATCACATCATGGCGGAATCTAAGCAGACAAATTCCAGAGGTCACGACAGCACCGGTGTTACCGACAGAGTGGTGAACCAAATGCTTACGCAGATGGATGGAGCCGAAGGTCTAGACGGAGTTTACGTTTTAGCGGCTACTAGGTCGGCCATAATTCCATCCTCATATCATTCAACTATGCTGACCTGGGACTCCAGCCGTCCAGATCTGATCGATTCCGCCCTCCTTCGTCCAGGTCGCCTGGACAAATCAGTGCTATGTGACATGCCCAATCTTGACGAACGGAGAGAGGTACATTGTCTATGAGGCTATCCATGAGTGAACAGTTGGATTAACATCGTTGGGCCATTAGATATTAGAATCCATCTCCAAGAAGATGCATATGTCATCAGACGTTGACCTTGACGAGTGGGCGCGCCTCACGGATGGGTATTCGGGCGCTGATCTTCAGGCGTTGATATACAATGCCCATCTGGACGTCATCCACTCCTCGATCCCAGTCTCAAATGGCGCAGCATTGAATACCCCTGACGACGCGTCGTACTTGAAGTTCGTCAAACTCGGACGACAAGGGGGGAAAAGTGTGCTGTCTCGCGCACAGGAAACGGCGATGCAAAGACGTGTATGTATGCGTATAATCTCATAGTTGACGTGTGCTGATGGAGCGTATGTAGCTCGCTCAGATGCTGTCGTCGTCTTCCAGGACTGCGCGGTTTTCAGCCCCTCGCGAGACGACGCCCAAGCAGGTTTGACGACGTCATATTAGCAAGCACGGCATCGCTGATGGGCTGTACAGGAGATTACGGATACTCACTTACGGCGAGTGCTACAGACCACCCGGCCATCTGTCGCCCCTGAAGAGCGCCAACGTTTGCAGTTCATGTGAGAAGTTCTGTTTCGTAGTCTCAACGATATTGAATTGCATCCAGTTATCACGATTTCGTCGACGACCGCAGTGGGGATCTACCACGTCCGCCGGAACCTCTTGGGATCGGTATCCGAGCGACGTTAGCCTGATCTGACTCTGTAGGTCAACGAACAATCACGTCAAGTGTAACTTGGGCCGAACGGAAACACGGTGTATATATCCGATAACTCATGGGTCTCAACCAAATAATGATATGCATGTCGACAAGAGTAAGAAAAGCGCGTGATGGCGGTAATAGTGTATGAACAGTAGTCATGGGGGAGAAACGCGCACTACAGTTTCATCAGGCCCTTCATCGCATTCGCGATGGCAAAGCTTGATTTGGCCATCATCTGCCGCGAGTCCTTCGTGAGCTCCGGCAAGGACTGCACTTCGCTGAGCTTGTTCGCGTGGTCGCTGAGCTCGCGGAGGATATCGTTCCCGGTTGCTGCCGACGCTGGCGGGAGGTTATCCTTGCAGACCGCAACGATGCTAGCGACAATCGTAATGATCTGCGTCAGGTTTTCATTGAGGGTCGGCGGGGGCGTCGGACTTCGGACACCAGACAACACGCTCTGGATGGCGTATACGATGGATTCGGTCTGTGCCTCCAAATACGGCTGATAGAATATGGTCAGTCATGCTGCCCGTATCATAAGCCGGAGTACACCAACCTTGAGCTCAAGCCAAGCATCTTCCGTACCGTCTCCGTCCGCTGGCCCGGAATCATCGCTTGTCGCTCCATGTCCTGCGGATGGCACCTGATCAAATATGGGTGGAGGGGAGCTCGCGTTCGAGCTTGAGCGCTCAGACGGCTCGCGCGGAGGCCGCCTGTCCTCTGCTGATCTGGTGGCGGCGAACATGCGCGAAGGGGACATAAGTGCGTCGATCGATGGCACGGGCGACGAGTAATCGCCTCTGCGCGAGCTTGATGCGCTCGGTGTCCGCTCACGGGTGGCTCGCTCCTCAATCGACCGCAACGAGGGCAAGAACCCGTTACTCGCGGAAGTCGGGCTCGTCACCGGTAGTGGCGCGAACTGTTCCTGCTCGGCCTTGGTCGCTTTGCGTATGCACAGGGTCTTTCCGATCTCCGTGACGGTCGCCGACACGTGGCTCGCTGCCGCGTCGAGCAGGCTAACGGGTGACATACCCGCACTTTGTGCGTGTGTCTTGCTCGCCGCGACGAGATTACCGAGAGTCGCCTCGCACCGCTCCTGTAGACCCCGTAAGGCTTCAACGTCGACGTCGCGAGAAGTGCGCCGCTCGAAAGCCCGCGTGTCGTCTAGAATCGCGCTGACGGCGTTCACGACAGCCTTCATCGGTGTCAGCACACGCGTCGGCGAGTTAGAGCGGCCGGCAGTAAGGAGCGCGTCGATGGCGGTGAGGAAGGCGGTAACATGGATGTCGAGAATGCCACCGTCACGCGAAACCGGGAGTTGATCCTCTGCCTGTCTCGGTGCCTGCAAAAACAGCTGGGACGTCGCTGCACAGCAGGATTAACTACAAGCTCCCGAACTGTCTGAATACGGTGTGCTCGCCTTTGACACTGCGCAGCTCCGTCTTCGCAAGCTCGTACTTGCGCTTGTACTCCTTCATCTGTGCGTCCAGATCGCGTATGACTGCCAGGTCCGCGTCCTTGGCGTTCATCAGCTCATCATTCCGTCGACTCAAGTCAGACAGCTCCACGAGCAGGCCCTCCATATCTGTCTGCAGCTGCGCCACAAGCTGATGATCCGCCCCGCCGACGCCGCTGCCCCGTTCCTGCTCGAGGACCTCACAGCGCTCGCGCAGAATCCGGATCTCGTCGTCATCTTCTTGCGCGCGCCGTGCAGCAACGTCGGCGTCCCGGGCCCGGTCCTCGCGCAGCTCGTCGAGTTCACGGCGGAGCGACCTCATCGTCGCGCTCTGTTCGTCCGTCCGCTACGCACAGATCGTCAGCACTTCAGGTCTCCAGGAAGGCGCCCAAAACGTACCTGACGCATGTTCTCAAGCTCATCCTCGAGCTGTCTCACCCGCGCCTCCGCGTCCGCTGCCCTGCTTTCCAGCTCCTGCACATCCCCCACCTCTCGCTCCAGACTCTTAATCTTCCCCTGCAGCTCCTTGATCTGTGCCTCGTAGTCCCTCCTCATCCGCTCCTCCACCTCCCTGCTCGCTCCTGCTCCGCCTCCCCTCCCCGGAACCGGCTCATCGTCCTCTCCAACCTCTCGCAACCTCGCACTCAACCCGCTCAGCCCACCAAACCCACCCCCGCCGAGGCCCAGCTGTGGCGTGCGCGGGCTCAGCCCGCCCTCGCTGCCCGTCTCCGGCTCAGGCTCCTTGTCAAACGGATCCCGCCCGTTTCGCGAGCGCGCCGTGCGCGGGCTCTCGTCCGGCTCGTACTCATCTCCCCCATCGCGACCGTACGGCACCTCGATCTCTTCCTCCGCTATCGTGCTCTTGCTGGGTATCACCATTCCGCTCATCGCCGTCTGCTCCCCGCTCGCCACGCTGCCCTCCCTGTCTCTGTCTCGTTCCCTTTCCCGCTCGCGCAAGGTCGACATCGACCGCGACGTGTCTGCGCTTGGTTTGCGCCGGCTGGCCGTGGAGTCCTCGCTTGGCCGGCGGCGTTCGTTGGGGTCGCGGAATGAGTTCGCGGGGCCGCGCCGGGCGGGGGCCGGCTGTGAGTAGGAATCGTCATCCACGCCTCCGTACGGGTCCTCAGAACGCGCGTTTGACCGGCGGTCTTCGGACGGGCGACGGCGGTCCTGGCTCGACCGTCCGCCGTAGGAGTAGCCCTCTTGACTCGACCGCCCGCCGTACCTAGGTGCGGAATGAGTTGGTGGTGCGCTTTGGGCAATAGCGAACGACCTTACATGTCTTCGCTCGGCCGTCGAGGGCCCTTCGGCACTGGAGGCGGCGGCGAGCTGGGCAATTCAGGTGACACTGGTTCGTCGTATTCTGAGGCTGGCGAAGGAGGTTCTGGCTACGCAAGGAGGAAAGGGAGTTATCCCGACGTGTTCCAACTGACTGAATGGTGACTTACTGCGTTGAGGAACTCAGGGTAGCGCCTTGAGAGTTCGTAGTACACATCCGAACTGAGATCTTGGAAGCGGCTGGTCGGGAGAGTCGCAAGCTTCTGGCGGGCTTGGTTGCGTTTGGGGTGGAACTCGTCGCGAACGGGGAGGAACGGTACTGGTTGAGGATGCGACAGTGAACCTCGTGAGGGCAGGTGGCACGACAAGGCGGGTGTGAGCGTACCTTCACTGCCCTTATCGTTCGCTTTCCGTCGCAGCAGTTCGTCGTACACATCCGTGGAGAGTTCTTGAAACTATGGTTCACGAAGTCAACAGTGCGCTTCGTATGTCACGGCAGAGAGAAGGTCGACAGTACCTGTTGTCGAGTCAATCTCGTAAGCTTCTGGCGCGCTGCTGAACGAGAATTGGCAGGTTCTGGAGATGATCAAGAAAGATGAGCGAAGGGAGCAAGATTGGCTCGGTGGAAGCGACGTACCGCGTGCGAGGTATTCCCTTAGGTATACACGGAGTTCCTCGAAGTGTGTGCGTGCGATGTTGCGGCTGTCGGAGCTGGGAAGGGGAGGTGGTGCGTCTCGCATCGAACCTATGATGGTACACATCAGTCATCGAGGTCAACGCTTTCAACGCGAATGCTCGAGGAGAATTGGCTGCACACGATCCTGGCTCGACGTCAAACGAGTAACACACCTGTGTTTCTGTAGTTGGAGATACCGCTAAACGCGGTATATGTCGGACTGGGTGCGCGCGATGGTCCGCTGTCGGACCTGTCACCCCTCGGGCCTCCTCCAGGCAGTCGTTTCACAGCGGACATGATTGTGTGTCGAGATGGGCGGCTAGGCCGAACTTGAAGAGAACGTGTTGGCGAGCGGGTCAGATGCGATGAGTATCGATATTGGGCCGAACGAGACGTTCGGCGACTGCGATCCATGTGTGGATCAGTACTCCCGTTCGGATGGTCGGGGGTCGCGATGAAACTTCACCTAACAGAAGTCCAAGCGTGATTTATTGATATCCAAGAGTGGCTGCGAGCTCTGAGAGTGGTATCGGGCGCGTCCAGCGGCCGGTGTCGTCGCCAGGGTTCGAGTGCGCGGTAGGAGATGGTAGTCACTGGTCGATGCCTAATTCTGGGTCCACGAAGCGGTGCCGCAGTCGTGATTATCCCGGTGTTACCGATGGGCTCTGTTAAATTAAGGCAAGTAGAGAAGGGACAGCAAGCCGATGTATCCGTTGTCGCCGACGCGGACGTCGAGCTTGAAGATGAGCAAGCCCAAGCAGAATACCGGGCACGGTCGCTGTTGCAACTTGCGCGGCGGAACGGACGCACGATCCACACGTGGGCTGCCATATCAGGAAATGCCCTTCATAGCCCCTCTGTCTCGCTTTGTTATTGTCCGCGACTCAGTGTCGACTTCGAGTTGGTGAGACAGCAAATGTGCCATGGTCTCAGACTCTATCCAAGATCGGCGCAAAGAGGAGTTTCCGACTGGTCATTTAAATTGCAATTGCCCGCTCGGGAAGCAGCAGCTGCGTTCTTGAACGCGGGTCGATCGACAGAAGAACCAGACAAAAAATCGCCACGGTTATCCTTTTCTCTCATGACGAACGTTCTCGTAGTGACAAAATAGATGAAAGGGACTAGCTACGGCTGCTTAATGCACTGCTCTCCTGGTTCTCTTCTAAACCTTGGACTGTTGTTATTGAGCACTCAATGATGCATGATGACGAGACATGCATCGCCGTGCGCCTGCAGTTGGACACCCTTCCTGCTGCGCAGAGAGCGACTTCTGGGTCTGTCGACGGGAATTACGCATGCTTCATTGCATATGCATATACCCAACGCAAAGGGTGAACCCGCGTCATCTGGCGCGAACGGGTCAGTTGTAGCCACGCCCTGCATACAGACTCGGGCGGGCCGAAGGCGACGTACCGTCGCCATGGGTCGCACCAGCGTCCAGCCAAAGCATCCTTGGAATTTACATATCTTGTCATGCTACCAATATGCACATGCAGACGCGCCGCTATCGGATGACGTTCCGGCGACATCGAGCTTCGTACCGCTCCTGTTACCCCTACCCACCTGACGCGCCGCTGCCAACTAGAGTGCAAGCAACCTTACGTGCCGAGTCTTCTTCCGCTCCACGCAGGCGATGAGAAGGATGGATGATATCTGCAACAGGGCGTGTCTTTCACATCGTCCAGTGTAGTTTGTCCTTCCCACGGTCATCGGCCATCCCCGCTCGGGACGCCGGGTTCTACTCCTCCTAGCAACACCATCGGTACGCTTGACATGTATTGCTTCGCTAGACGCACATTGTCATGAGTTGCTTCGCTGGTCCTCGACAGATCCTCAATAGACACACATTGTCATGAATTGTTGCGAGGCGCAGACGACCTCAAGCCCAGAATCAGGCATGGCGCTGAGAACGCCATGCCCCATATACCGCGCGCCTGAGAACGGCCGCACTGCTGCCTCGCGTCGGCAGTCCCGTGTACGCCCCCAGCCGGGCGTGTTCCTCCCACCGAGTCGCTCACGTCCGGAGCAAGACGCGCGCAAAGGGTCGAATGTCTGGCGATCATCGGCCGGACTCTGTCTCGCGTTGCTCATCTCGACGGACTCGCCGAAGTCGACGCTCGTGCTATCGTCAACCTGATCTCCGTCCGTCTCTGTCTCAAGGCGGTCGTTCATCGACCAGGACAAGCGACGCTCGCCATCTTGGACGACGTACCAGTGGTGTCAGGCCCGCTCTTATGCGAGGCATATTCAACCCAGGCATCCACCGCCCCACACCAGGCCTCCTGCCATCGTCCACCCAAGACATGTCCTCGATGCCGCCCCCGGTGCCTCCCGGTCCTCTAGGGTCCTCGACCTCGATCACCCTTACCTCCCCCCTCCCGCTCACTGCCCTCCTCTGCGTCGCCCACTTCCTCGACACCTTCTCCACCGCCGCCTTCTTCTCTGCGGTGCCTTCCATCGCTTACTCCCTTCTCATCCGCGAGCCGACGACGACATGGCTCGTCTCCGCCTCCCAGCTCTCCTTCGGTGCCCTCCTCCTCCTCTCCGCACGCCTTTGTGCCTCATACAGCCCGAAACACCTCTTCGTCTTCTCCCTCTTCGCCCACGGCGGGATCGCCGTTGCCAATGGCCTCCTCCGCGAGCCGCACCTTCTCCCCGTGTTCCTCGCCTTGCGAGGTCTCGCCGGTCTCACTGCGGGCTTGTCGGTGCCCGCCGCGCTCCAGCTAGCGACCTACCTCTCCCCGGCTCCCGCCTTCCACCGTCGTGCGTTGCGCGCATATACCGTCTCCGCCGCGCTTGGGAACGTTGCCGGCCTCGTCTTGGGTGCAGTCTTCGCCCAATACGCGCACTGGTCGTGGCTCTTCTTCTTTCAGGCCATCCTCGCCCTCCCCGCAGCGACTATTGGCTACGCGCTCCTCCCCCGCCGACGCTTCACCTCCGATGAGCCTGAACCGTCATCAACTACGATCCTGGAGAAATCGTCGATCCCAGCCGACGCCGAGACGCCACCCGCACTCGACTTCTTCGGCGTCTTCCTCCTCCTTGCCGCGCTCGTCCTATTCCTCCTCGGCGTCACGACCGGGGCACCTTCGCTTCACGCTCGCGCCTGGACGGGGCCTGCGGTTCTTGCCCCGCTCCTCGTCGCCCTCCTCCTCTTCTCCTCCCTCCTCTTCTGGGAGCGACGACTACCCGCTGCGCAGACGCTCCTCCCACCACCTCTGGTACGCAACCGCGCGTTCGTTGTGCTATGTATCGTGGGCGGTCTGCCACTCTTTTGGACCACGACCGTGTTGTTCGCGTTCAGCACGATATGGCAAGATCTATACTGGAGTCCTATGAGCTGCGCCTTGCACTTGTAGGCTTCGCTCCTTGGTTATGTATCTGCTCGTACTGATGGTCGCTCGTAGACTACCCCTCGCCCTCGTGCAATCGATAACGCTCGTCATCCCGCCACAATATATCACCTCCCTCCGGCTGCCGTATACCCGTCTGCGACTGACCACGAAAAGGTTCCTTCTGCTAGGGCAACTGCTCCTCGTCGCCGGCTCTGCGCTCGTCCCATTCGCGGACAAACCGGAGTACTATTGGCCGTTTGCCTTCCCGGGCTTCGTCCTCGGAGCGCTCGGCAGCGCGAGCGTCATGACCAACGCTAGGTACATCCTCCCGTTTCTCTTAGTCTATAGTTAAACCATCAGACCGACGATGATCTCTCTCCTAGTGCGGCTGTCCTACGAATAGCACCGACCAGCCACACGGGCACCGCCGCGGCGCTTTTCGCGTCCGCGCTCCACCTCGGCGCCGCTCTTGGCCTCGCGCTCGCGACGTCCCTTCAGTCGCACGTCGACCGGGGCGACCCGGGCAAGTGGAGTTTCCGCGGACGTAAAGCGGCGTTCTGGCTGCTGCTCGGCGTGGCGGTATGCATCGTCATGCTGACGGCCGTGGGGTTGAAGGAGTCAGACGTACCGGCGGAGACTACAGAAACGGCGACCACAGAAAGGGAAGGGGACGAGGATGAGAAGAAGGAGGGGTTGGGACTGGGCGCGGGAGGGGTGGGTGACTCCGACGTGTCAGTGATGCAGAAGGAGAAGGAGACGGCGAGGAGAGCGGATGCACCGACGGTTGAGCAGATCGTCGCGACGCTCATCTCGGAATAAGGGACAACGCGCCCTTCATACGCGTTCGTGCAACGTCCATCTACATTCACGCATTCATGGCCGCGGACCGTTTCATGCTCTCCGACTGCCGGCCTTGCGCTGCTCAGTCTACAGTGTATCATTATTTGTTGCAGGCATTGCTATCGCACGAGTAGTTATAGAGCAATTGTATCTCTTGTTCACATGTTGTACGCGGCATGGGTCTACCACGCATTTGCGTACGATAACCAGTTTTATGCCCGTTCAATGGGAGATAAAGCGCCAGCATTCAGGAATGATGCACAACGGTTCTCAGCGTGCCGTTGGTCTCCTTCGCTATAGACGGAAGTGGTCATGATCTCCGCTGCGGTCGTGTGGTTGCGCATTTGCGGAATTCACGTCAGATTGCACACGCTTCTCCGGTAGCAGCGTACCATCGCGTGTCGGATGACCTCCGCAAGGGGCTACCGCCAGATGAGAGACTTCGGGATTGGGTCGGATTGCGCTCGTCGTATGCCCAGAGTAGAAGTCGACAACCGCGAGTGTCTGGAAAATAGTGGACCGGACTGCTCGCTGATTTTATCCCCGGAGTGCAGTCCGAAAACGCCTAGCAGTTTGCGAATCGTGGAGTTAACAAACATGCGGAGAAAGTAGGCGCTGCATTGATCGGGCGCTCCTATTCTGGGCAAGGCATAAGCATGATACGCCCCAAATGTAACAAGCCCTAAGCCCAGCAACGATATCAGGAAATCGGAGGTTCGCAATCTTCATATGCAGCCATGACGGGGGTGAGCGCAACATCGCCTAAGCCGAATCGCGGCGTAGCAGTCAGCCCAACAACGGAATAGCAATGTAAAGGACCGAAAGAGAGCGGTACAGGTAATTCAGCCGGCTTCTCAAGCCTTGAATAGAGTCTGTGTCAATGCGGATCCTATCGTCTTCATGGCTCAACCAAGGGCTGAGAGACGGTCAGGTACGAATGATGAACAGGCTCTGATGGCTCAGCTCCGTATGCGCCTCTTGATCCTCGAGGACGATCGCGAGTGAACGTTAACAGCTTCAGCGACGGTCTTCTGCCTTGGGCGGTGATCGTTGTTGTTTCGCCCAGTGCGCTTGCCGCGCCTTCAATCGGCTTTCTTTAGACGACTCCCATATGGATGCGCGAACTATGATGCAAGATGATTGGTGACTGAATGGTTGCCATTCTGACCCCAATGCCATCTCAACGCACCGCCCAGCAATGACAGGCGTCCCCATATGGCGTAGGAGAAGAGTTCGAAGGCGGGAGATGCATCCGGAGTTGCTGCTGGATTGGTCCAGCAGTGGCGCGGGAGATTCCAGGCCCAGATTGGCGGATTCTGTCAATTTACTTCCGCCCTTTCACCACGTCATATGCAATGCAAACTCAAGATGCGGCATGAACGTGGCACTTCGTACTGACAGTAGTCCGGCGAGAATAATCCTCGATCACAATGCAGACCACTTGCAATCCGTTGAAGCAAGCGGTGTTGAGTTGCCCTTTGTGAATCCTCAGGGAAATGTATCGTTCACACCGCACGCTATTCGCACCGCCAGCGATGTGAAATAAGTTTCGAGTGCGTCATCTCCCCTTGGAAGTTGGTCTTGTCGACGAAACAGGTATGGGATAGGTCGAGGTTCCAACGGCCAAAGCCAGCTAGCCATCCTCCGCTGCCGGTGGTATGCCTCTATGCGCAGAGCAGCGCACCTTCGGTACTTTCTGAGTGGTATATCATATTTCGACCCTGGGGCTAACAATCACTTGGTCGAATCGGACTCGAAACTAGGCGCATCTCCAGGTACAGAGCGCTAAACCACACCGTCATAGAGCACCCAAACATGGCCATCCTGTCAATGGACAGCATAAGGCACGACTCCGACTGCCAAGGTTGGACCGACTTTTCCCTCATGAAACGCGGAATTGCTTGAGAAGTCTCAGTTGCGCCCACACGCGGAGTATTTCTATCCCGGTCCAAATGCATTATTGGCCGGATTGTACTTCTACTTCGCTGATCGCTATCGGCTACTCCGCGATACTCTTTCCCCCTCCTTCAACTCAACCTTGTCACACCATAGAGAACTTCGTCAATGACGTCGCAAGCTGAGGACTTTGTTTACTCAGGGGTGAGCCCAGCATATTACCCATGCTTATGAATGCGACATTGATTTCGAGACGTATCATAGACGGCGGTTGCATATGTGGTAACAGCGAGTGCGACTCTCCTGGTGGGACTAGTTTTTTCCTAACGTAATGGCCATGTTGATTGAGTCCTCGCGCAGGTGTACGACTATCTCTGCACACTCGACGACGAGGCAGGCCACAGTTGTTGAGGAGTGATTTCGCTACACCCTGCTCACGGCTCAGTAGATCAAGCACATTTGGCGGACCGATCACCCCCGGCCGTTAGCCTCCAGCCTGTTCATCCTCAATCGTTACCTCCCTTTTATAGACACGTTCGCAACCCTTAATAGTACGTGCCCCCATTCCAGAGGCATACCAATGTGATACCTTACGACCGATCATTGCAATAGGGCTCACTACCAACATGACACCGGGGGCATGTTGCCTGACTATGCTTATAGCGGAACAATCGCTAACGTGGTCAATCAGGAATGCAAGAGGAGGGCGGGTATCATTATATGTTTGTCATTTGATATTTTCCTCGATGCTGCAGCTCACGATCAGCGTAGGGTTCACTGTAACTGGTTCATGGTTGGCAGAAGGTATGGTAACCGCTTCATTGGCATCCACTGGTCGTAACTCATGATCCCCTTTTAGTAATTCTCATGATGCGCACATACGCCATATGGGGGCGGAAAAAGATGATATGGGTTTTCTTCTTGTTTCCGATCGTCGTATGTTCGACGATATGAATTCCTGGGCTGGCATTATCTGATTTATTCTCAGGCGATCATATCTTCGGCTGCTATCACCGCTCTTGAAGTGCGCTCTTTGCAATGTACGGATCATAGGCCACCGCCGTTTTCAAACCAATGAACGACTTCATCCCACTCTAGACGTACCCCTGCCTTGGCCGAACTACGTGGGGTGTTACCTTGGATCTGCCAGCAATATCATTTTTGTCGATTATGCGCTTCTGATGATCTCGGAGACAGGCTCGTATTTATGAGATACTTGGCTTGCTCTTGCATGCAGACTGACAGCATTCCATTGAGCAGTCATTCTCACCTTAACCCTCGTCAAGGCCATTCCGGCATGTATGTGCTTACGATTGCTGTCCTGTTCTATCATAACATCATGGCTCAGTTCGACGCGCGCGGTCTCCACTGATTACGAACCTGTATCGCGACGGTGAGGTTACGAACCGCTCTCCCTCCCACCACTCTAATGATATGCGTAGGCATATTGTTCTATGTCTATCTCCTTTGTATGAGCAGCGCCAACGTGATTGTACCATTGGTGACCACGGTAAGCTTGCCTCAACATTGAACGCGTCGAAACGTTACTGAACAAGATGATCGTCAGGCTGATTACACGAATATCCTATCCACGTATGTGACAACGTTGGTGTCAGGCATTTCACTACCTGACAGGGATTTCGCTGCTAGGCCTCAACGTACGTTACATTCTATACTGTGTACAAGAGTCCTTCTTGTTCGAGTCAACCGAGGAAGTCGCAATGCTGCGTCGACTACAACCGACGCTGAAGACGTATTCTCGTCAGTTTTCCCTCAGCATGCAATGACTATCGAGCTGGGTCCAATGGAGTAATCACCTGTCTCGAGCCAGTGTCTATATTATGGATATATCAATCGTTCCTTTTAACGAAACTTATGTAGTTGTAATCGCGTTCCTTGCTCGCGTCAGTTGCACATAAGTACTACTCTTAAGATGAACATGGTCCTCGGCTATTCCCGTGCAACACTTGCTCGGCTTTGTCCGCGCGCGGGAGCCTTCCCATGTGCATAACTCGTTCGCGCAAGCTGTCGTCCGAGGATGCTCTCCCCCGCAACTCTGATGGGAGCTGTCAAGAGTCCCTTCTGCAGTGATCTTTCATGTGCATAGCAAGGTGAGAAATCGTACCGAACTGATGCACTCCACATGCCGGATCTATTACATCCGCCTCTTTAAGCCTAGATACCCCGGCGGCATCCTACCAATGACTCAAAGAAGGACCAGTACGACCCCCATCCTGGAGCATCCTCGAAAGGCACCGATCACACGTCAAGGAAATGACAATCGCAGTACTGTAGGGCCTCGGCGTCCTGATATACTTTGGAGGGTTTTCCATCTGTTGCTACGCATGTCTTCCGGACCGGAGCTCTGCAACGCGGGCGGCGTGTCTGGCCTCTTATTGGCATGATAAGTCATTATTATATAAGAGATGGATCGCGCGCATGGTCTAACATAACGACTGCGGTTCTCCTCACCCATGCACCTGCCCCTCCTCTGCATAAGACAGGAGGGCTTTGAATATCTGTCTCGAGGATAAGATCTGTCTTGCAGCCACTTGGTTGTGGCGGGTGTGGCTTGTCCTGGCAAGAAATGACCGCCAACGACGTAGAGCTTGTTCGCGCATCGGTAGGAATCACACCCATTCTCATCGTCTATGGCTGATGGGTGAGAACTTCACAGATAACCAATGCTTATGTTGTTGTAGCGAGCGCTACCATCCTGGTACGTTCTCGAGGGCCTCGAACAAGCCGTACGACCCACGACGTTTGACTCCGTGCGTTGCAGGTGTACGATTACTTACGGACGCTCGAGGATGAGGTGAATATAGCATATTTCCAGCTGATTCGCGCTAACGTTCCACTAGATCAGTTTTGTGTGGAACACGCCAAATCCGCGGCTTATTGCCACTGCACTATTCTTGGTCAACCGCTATCTTCCATTTGTGGAGACTTTTGTTGCGCTTCATAGTCAGTTGTGCCTGTAACAGGAACGCCAATTTATATCTATTGATTTCATTCCAGGATTAACGACTATAATCTCACCGGAGGTGAGGCTTGCCGCAATATTACCGCATTTACACTGACATCACGTATAAGCGTTGCTTGGTTCAAGTGACCGTGGTTACCTGTGTGTCGAATCATCTATCCATAGTCGAGTACAGCTAAGCACTCCACCAGGGTGTGCTATTTTGGGCACGGCACTGGCAGAAGGTGAGCAGGATAGTTGTCTCTGAAACCTTCACAGTGCATCTTAACTTGGGATTAAGTGATATTACTCTTGAGAACGTACGCAATTTGGGGCCGCAAGAAATCGATCCGGATCGTCTTCATCTTACCCATAGTGGTGTGTATGATCTACAATGACGCCACGCTTTCGCATGACGGAGGCTCTATCTAGGCATTCCTATCATGCATTCCTATTACCATTCTACAGGCTAGGTCCTATAAATGTAACGTCGAACTCTTCACCTTCGGCGGGGGTGAAATACTCAACTCATTTTCCGCGTAGATGCACCCCCGCCTTTACCGAAGGTTGTTGGGTGTTATCTTGAATCCGCGAGCAACCTCATATACATAGACTACGTCATGTTCATGCTATCAGAAGCTGGTGATGCCATCGGAATACCCTTTCACCTCGAGACTGATCAGGTTCCAGTGATATTGGCGTTAACGCTGATCAAAGCTATACCAGCATGTGTGTTACCTCATTATTTTTTCATCTCCGTCATTTGATCACCCCGAATGTCAGTTCGACATCCACGATCGCGATTCATTCAGAACATGTACCGGGACGGTGAGTTCTTTGATGTCCAAAGAGAATAGACCATTCAACGCAGGTCAGGCATACTATTCTACATTTACCTCCTATTGGTTAGTGTTGCCAATGTCGTTATTCCTATATTGGCGCCGGTACGTGCAACCGTAACCCTGACCTGGGTCTCGATATCTGAAGGCATTGCATAGATGCGCTATATGCATATCTTGTCAATGTGGGCGAGCTTGTACGCTCTGTGATGAATAGAACTGACAGACTCGCAGTCCCCAACGTGTATTGCATTCCATACTATGCACGCGTGTGCTACTCGTCCGTGTTTCCAAGGATGATGCGTGTGTGACAATGTCGGAAGACAACGACAGCATATCTAGAATGAGACGACACGGTGAACAAGGGCTCATAGAGTAGAACGGCAAGCTCGGGCATTCGTACAGGCGTATTTGTAACCATTATTCTCGTTCGATCCATCTATTCTATACCTGTGGCGTGTCCCCCACATTCAGCACGCGAAAGTGTGAGTAGGCCTCATCGTAATGGACTTGACATCTGTCCACATCTCCTATCAAGAAATGCTCGTCCGCAGATCCCGACATCAGGAAAAACCCCATCTGGCAATTTTCTACATATATACATACATGGTTCATAATATGTCCATATTCTGTCCAAATTGTCACAAAAAAGCCAAAAAATCCCATAAAACTGTCAAATCATGACAGATGACAGACCAATTAGAGGACTGTCTTATAGGTACAAGGGGGCTTAGAACTAATAACATAGAAAATGTGGTTGCAGTGTCAATAACATCAGCACTGGTCCATGTCCAAGGGGCTTAGAGAACAAATGTAGATATAAGTGTTGGAGTTGGGGATTGATACTTGACTGTTGACACCTCACCCTGGCCTGGCCCCATCTGGAATATCATATCATCCCATATAGTCCCAGCTTAGGTACTGCATGTACATCTGAAAGACAGAGATTTCCATAGCCAACATCA